TTACTTTGTTTAAATATTATTTTTTCTTCCTTTTTTGAAGTACGGGATATCTTTTTACTTTCTATTTTTATTCTCAACATAAATCGACGGAAAATGGCAAGCAAGACGCTTTTAATCGGTAAAGTGTTAAAGCGAAGCCCTTTGTTTAGTTATATCTGTAGATTGTCGCCAAAGCGTTGTCTCTTTCTGGGGAGCAGACATTGAGAATCCAAATAGGTGAATTAGACTCACATGTGGCAACTGCGCATTTTAAGCTCCCAGCGGCTTTTTTTTGGCGCGAGTTCGCATATATTTATTTTGAGCTATGGAGAGCAAAATACAACTCATTGTGGAGTGCTGAAATTATTAAAAGTATAGCGTAGCTAGTGCTTGTTTTGAATTATTCGTAATATTTCAACCCAAAAGGACTAAAAACATAAAGTTATTCAAGTGCGTGCTTAAATGATGACGGACCTGATTTTTTTTTTTTAACGTTGAAAGATAAACAGTGTGGGCATCGCATGAAGCTGTAGTAGTCTTCAAAGAATGTAACATTTTCCGTCATTTCACATCTAAGCATAAGAATTCCAATTACGAAGCAATGTCCGAATATGAAAGAAAACAAAATGTAGGAAGTCTTTCTAAAAAATTATCAGGCCGAAAAATTTTTTTCAAGAAGGTAAACAGTATCCATGAAGCAGTTACACATGCAAGTTACATTGTAGAATACAATATTGCTAAAAATAATAAAGCTCTCAGTGATGGGTTTGTGTGATTTTTATGTCCAGACAAGAAAAATAATTTTGAGATTGTAAGCTTATCTCGAAAAACGGTGATTTCTAGAATCGAAGACATCGATAAATCTCACATCACAATTAGAGTCAAAAGATTGGCCAGTTTAAATTTTGCTCCATACCTATGGATGAAAGCACTGGTATAAATAATACTGCTCAATTAGTATTATTTGAGCATTATAAGAAGTGTTGATGAGAACTTTGAAATTACCGAGGAACTGCCGTGCATGCGTTCTTTAAAGGAAATTACGAGCTATGATATTTTTCTTGAATTTCAGGAAGGGCTTTTAACTTTGAAAGTGCCTATAACAAATATACAACCGCTAGAGCACCAAATATGACAGGAAAAAATTCTGGATTTCTTGAACTCTTTAATCGAAACTATCCCGGAAACAATGTTGTTTTTCTTTATCAAGATGCTCTGTGTAAATCTGCATTGAATATGAAACCCGTGTAGCTTAAGAATACTATTCGATCTCTTGGACTTACTTACAGCCAATTTCGAGATTTTCTTCAGTCCGTGCAATCTGAATACTCTGATGTACTGTATTACACTAAAGTAAGGTGGCTTAGTTCAGGATGTGTTTTCGAGCGAGTTTGGCAGCTGAAAGACGACTTTTGTTCCGCGACCGAATGCCCATGCCTGGACTAGACTTATCCACATGCGATTTTTACATGTTTGGACACCTCAAAAAGGCACTTGGAAACAAGCGATTTGAGTCCATAGATGAAATGGAAATATTCGTGCGCAACTGATTGGATACCCATTCAACTTCATTCTATGAGAACGGAATGAAAAAATTACCAAAACGTTGGGGAAAATGTATCATAAAAAGAGAGATATTTTAGAAAAAATTAGAGAAATTAATGGTCCTATAAATAGATTGTTAACAAAAGCTGTTATTTGATTCACCCTTGTACAACCAACCATATGTGAATAAAATGTTCAAAGATGAAAGAACTTCATCACTTTTAAAATAGTAATAATAATCACCTGATATTTGTCAACGTGAATTCTATAGAATTGTAATTATGGAAAAAAAAAAAAAAAAAAGATTGGAATCTCTGGCAAATAAACAGTAGGGAAAATTACATATTTTCGTTTAATTATGGCATTCCAGTTTACGAGCGGCTGTTTCAGCGTTTCGTACAGGTTCGCAAAATCAAGAACTCACTGCGTAGTTAATGTTGCTGGTTTATGAATTGAGAGTAATGCTGGAATGTCATCTACATATTTTGCCCTTGATGTACTAAGAAGTTCTTAAAAGCAATTAGTACAGATGTAGGCTGGCCAAAGTAGTAACGCTCGCGGTACTTTCATTGTGGTGGTTATTGCTGAGTAGCTATTCGTGACTTGAAACTTCCGTTTCATCAATTTAGGTTAATTTGCCTTTATTAAAGTGAAAGGAATGTATGGAAGATTAAACCACTATTCTAGTTTGATTTTTTAAATACTGTGTATATTATATTAATCGCATGTGAAATTATCTGTATTACTTTGAAGGTATCTTGTTTGGCTAACATATCCTATTTTTGCAAACTCTGTAGAGGCATACGAATTAAATTGAATCTTTCTAGGCATTCGTCTTCTTTTGTTCATTGCTCTTTTGAAAGCTTGCTAGTGAAAACAAATAGGTTTATTGACCTATACTTAAAAATTAACGCAGCCCCTTTCCTTTTACGTTTACGATAATGACTATGGTTCCACGTTTTTGGGAAGTAATGACATCTTAGACAAAGCGTGGAATATGTCTACCTCAGTAAGGCTGTCCTTCCCTTCCCCAAAATTGTTATGCAACGTTTTTTTAATTAGTTTCTCTGTCATATCACGTGAATTTTCTATATGTTAATTGAACGGGAAAATTTCTCGCGTTAGTAATGATTTATCGTTTTCAAATGTGTAAAAAATTTAGCTGTTGTCTTTGCGAGCTTTAAAACCGAATAATTTAAGAATCGTTTGTTTGATTTGGCGATTATGATTGTAACCGTTGGCTGCCTTATTAGATCTTGCTAAGATTTCTCATTAGGGAGACTCGTTTCACGATGTTAGGAAGCCAAAATTTAAAGTTGCAACCTCTAGGGGCAAGTCCCCTATATAGGCGACGAAAATTAAGCAATGTTGCCGAAAAAGAACTATCCGATGGCGATCCCGATTATGCAGAAATTCGTAATGCAACTTTATCTCCAGATGAGTGAGTGGATGATAAATGATAGATTAATCGAAAAATGCTCATTTGTTAAATTAAATAATTTTCATTGTTGGAAACATTTATAAATATTTTAAGTAATAAAGTTGCCATCTTTCCTCAGAATGAATTTAGTTTTGAGAGATGGGAGTTTAGCGATCACATGCTACTACATCGTTATCCTATATTTCTACATGCATATTTCTGGTAGAAGGGATTGGAGGACATTTGAATTGTACCATTTATTTATTTTTGAACATACATTTAAAGATATGCAATATTGCATGAAACATAGTCTAACATAATACAAAAATAATGAAATTTGAAAAATAGTATATATTGTAATATGGTCGCAATATTTTATTCAAATTTTGTTTCCCAGCATAAAAATTACTGCTATAAGTTATAAAAATGCGTCTTTTTCTTTATCTTCATTAAAAAAAGGGCTAATAACCATATTTTTAGTTTTTGCATCAGTTGCACCAAAAACTGTAAATTCATAACTAGGGAGAAAAAGCAGTGATCAGATTAAACTGGTTTGCACTCCTTCAACAAAATTAGTTCCTAAAATATATTTAGTTCAGCAAATTGAGTATTAAAAATTGAAGTATAATATTTCTTCAGGCAATTTATCGCTGCTTAATAGTTAATTTTATTTCTTATTTACTCAAGTGATTTGGTTTTTAAAGTGTTTGAATATCATCATTGCAAATTAAAATGAAAGTTAACTGCATGTTTTTCAAGTACAAGGAAAGAATTAGGAAAAAAAAAAAAAAAAAATGTTGACTCTGAATGATCCAAAAATTTTTTTTAAACTATCATACCACCAACAATTGTACAAATTAGATAGTGGTCTTTGTTCACAAAGGTGTATATAGATATGTATGCATTTCATTTTATGAGAGCTATTTTATGGTTTTAATCAATTTTTAATGTAAAATATTAGTATTTCTCAGCTTTTAATATTAGCAGTTGAATTCTGAGAGGATGGGAATTAATTGGATGACTCTATGCAGAATTTTATCGAATGTATGTATAGTGTAGTCAGAATGAATGTGTATATCTTTGGGAATATTAGACTTCAGTGCATCTGTGACTTTTAAATATAGAATATACAGGTAATTTTTATTAGTCATATTGTATAATGATTACATAATTGATAGCTACTTTTAGTTAGTTTTAAATTATGTTGGTGCACACTGTATCAGGTGAGCTATGGAAAGGTTTTCTTGGAACTTTCCATATTTTATTCCATATTTCCATTCCATTGTTATTAATGTCCATATTTTATTTATAGATTTATGATTCAGAACTTGAAAATAAACAATTTAAGTGAACTGTAATATTTAGCAGTTATATTTGAGAATTCCTCAGCTGTTTACACTTTAACAATCATTTAATTCTCAGTAATGAAAAATTTAAATACCATGCCTAATTTGCTTATAAAGATGTGACTGTGAGACTGATAAACAGAAACACCATTCACATGTTTCAATTAAAAAAAAAAAAAAAAAAAAAAAAAATTTTTTTAGAACTTTATGTAGTTCTAGCGTGGAATGTAATTGCTATCTCTGATATTGTAAATAATTACCTTAATCATTTGGCAGTTTGGAGATGGCATTAGAATTTGGTAAAATTTAAAATGTGCAATTAATTGTTATTAATTATAACTGTGAAGCTGTTATAGACGAAACATATATGTCTTCATTCTATTTTAGTTATGCATACCCAAAGTTAATAATTTAACTTTCTTATAAATATGTAACATATTATAAGATCATTAGAATATTTTGATATGCTATAGAATAAATTTTTAAATCCGTATAGGCAATCTGATAAGTATACTTATATTTATGGAAGTAATCGTTAATATTAAATAAATTCATTTAAAGAAGAGTAAAATATTAACAGTATACTAGAGAAGTAAATTTGAAATGGAACGTCTGTTGCATCTGTAATCAATATTAATGAGAATAATACTAAAACTAAGAAATTTTAATTTGTTAAAAAAGTCTCTGTAATTTTATTATTTGAATTTTAGAGCAATCATCATGTCATTGGGTGTTATGTTTTGCTGTAAGTGTGGAGAAGGATTTGCTCCACATGAAAAAATAGTCAACTCCCATGGAGAAGTTTGGCATCAACAATGTTTTGTGTAAGACATTCACTAATTTTTTATTTTCTTATGCATTTCAGTTTTTATATTTTTCCTGTTTATTCATGGCTATTAGTTGATTGATTTAAGAAATATTGTTAAGTGCTTTAAACTTAATTCCTGTTACCCTTCCTCTTAAATTTTAGAATGCAAACTAGACTAGAAGAGAAACACGCTAATGTGACAATCAAAATCGTAAAAAACAACCAATCTGAACTTCAAATAATGGAATTCCATTATTTGAAGTTCATTTGAGCGTAATTGCATTTGCCCTCTCCCTATTTTTAACTTCGCTAATATTTCTTTATGTTGATCAGAAGCCTGGCTCAGTAAAAGTAGGGCCAGTGCAACTCTGATTAAAAAATTAACCACGTGCAGTGCTGATAAGCACAGTGTTTCTGTGATTCCTATTTCTTTTCTATGTATTTCTTTCTCCTGATGAGGAGGGACCTTAGATGCCCTCGAAATCGATTGAGTGTTTCATTATACCTACGCTAAATATAAGGTTGTTTTTTACGATTTTGAATGCAAACTATTTTATTTTTGGTTACTTCCTTTTCCATTTCATATTTTAAATTGTTCCTTATAGTAATTTCTTGTAAGTGTATAATGCTAATTAATTTAATAAATTCATTTAGAAGTTTGCAACATTTTACAAATTAATATTTCAAAACTATTTTATTGTTTTTCTTCTTTGTAGATGTTGTCAATGCTTCAGACCTTTTCCAGAAGGAATCTTTTATGAAGTATGTTAATTATGAAGTCTTTTTTTTTCATTTGTTAATATGAAATATATACAGGGTGTTTGAAAAAGTGGCTATAGTCTTTAAGTATTGATTTTAGCCATTACCCCTAATAAAAAATTTCTCAAAGCAAGGAAAAGAACTTTATGAAAATTGTTTCACAGGTGTGAATAGAAGGAATGCATAAGCATCTGTTTATATGGTCCCTGTTAAAATAATAATAATTAAACATCCAATATGCTTTAAGACATTAAATAAAAAAAGTGCTCCTATATTAAAAATTCACAAAGATATAATTAATATTTTCATTAGGCCATTTAACAAATTTTTTAACAAACAACTATTGGTGACTATCGAAATCAGTAGCTTATATTTTATATTTGCTCAATAAATATTGATAAAAAGTTTGAACTTTTGATTCAAAATACACTTTAAACAGTTATCTAAATCACTAAATTCAGTCAAGATCTAAATTTTCATGTAAAAGTGTGAAACTTTTTATAGTTAATTCTCCAGCTGGCTAAGCTGTGTAAATGCATCCAAGAATATACGAGGGTTGTAACTTTAATAGTGGCAACTATTTATTTACAAGGAATACAAAAGTGATTCATGTCACCATGTTTTACAGTCCTTCAATATAGTCGCCAGCATTGTGTACAACCCGTTTCCAACGTGTGAAGTCGCAGAATACCTGTAGCAGCACCTGTTTTGTTGATAGTTTGATGGACCGGTCTACTGCGCAAGAATCCAAGAACAGTGGAACGATTGCCACAAGTGGTTCCTTCATCTAGGAACTAAGTCATAGTCACGAGGGCTTAGATCTGGGAGTATGGTGGATGGTAAAGCACTTCCAGCCCCATCACTTGAACAAATCAGTCACACTTGCGTTGCTGCGGCCGAGCAGTGTCATGCAAAATGAGAGGAGAGCTCTGCGAAGTTCGCGTTTTTTCTCAAGCTGGTGGAGTTGTGCTCTAAAATGAGCAGTAATCTGCGCAGTGACGGTCTGCTGTGGGGGAACGTATGTTTAGGATGACACATCACAGTCGTACACAAGAATCACCACCAAACTTTCACATTGCTGGGGTTCTGACAAATTTCGAACGTCGGGTTGCCCATTATGCCGCCATTCTTTGATTAGCGTTTATTCTGGCTGGTACGATCGGGCCCAATCTCATCAAAGTAATGATACGCATAAAAAGCATCTCCTTCGTGCTCATAGCGCTCCAGGTGGAGTGCAGGCAGCAGCGTATCGTAGCCATTTCTCAATTGTGTGGGAACCACGTGAAGCAGTTTTTCTCGGGACAGGCGTTCGTTCAGATGTGTAGCCAGTCGTATGGGCTAATCCTGTTTGCCGGCAGCTGCAATTTTTGGCGGCGCAACTGTCCATTAACTCGGCAACACTTGCATGTCTGATTGGCTGACATTAGGACACCTGCCGCACAATGTCTGCCACGTTTTTGGCGTCCTTTCATTGATGCTTTTCAAAACCCATCTTGCTACGATTTTGTAAGTAATGCACTTCCCCCAACCCTTGAAGCCTTGAGACCTGTTTGCGTATGACCTCTGGCACTTTCAATTTTTATCCAACAACTTTTCTTGTTTTGAAAACATCAATACTTTATACCGCAGCTAATCAAGGATTCGTTCTTCGCGTCACTCCGCAGCACATACGTATGCGGACGAGTCTTTTTGCTGAAGGTAAGTAGTTATGTAATTCACTCTGGATACGCGATATTCTTTGGTTTTGTTGCGTAGCATTTTTTCAGCTGTGTTGCCACTATTAAAGTTCCAACCCTCGTATTTACTGACACTTTTAAATAATTATATATGTGTGTGTATCTTAAAATGTGTCCAAGCAATTAGGGATGTTAATTAGAAGATAAAGTCTAGGTATAAAGTAACTGTGACATTAAGCATAAAATCATATTTAAAACAAATAATTTAAAATAGCAAGGATAAACACTAGGGAAAAATTTGATCACATTATACCATCATAAATTATTACTGATTAATAAAGATCGTAGATGGCTATCTGTAGGCAGTTTTTCTCCATGGCAATATTAGTACACATTCGACAGTGTCTCAGTAGTAACTGCATGTGCTGACATGCAGGCCAGTTTTTGAGCAATCATTCCCCATACATGTTTGTTGAAGGACAAACAACTATGCAAACCAAGGGAGAGTTGATATATGCTGGTCACAGAGGAAATGTTAGACATTGCATATGACATGTGCATTATTCTTCTGAAAGGTAGCTGCAGGAATATTTCATAGAAGAGGATAGTTTGTATAGAGTGTCTGTAATTTTTAGGAAAGAGAAGTATATAATACAACTTAAACCAGGGGTTCCCAACCTTTTTTCCTTAATGGCACATTGCACATTCTAGAGTGTCTGTGTAGTGGGCACCATTTATTTTTTCAAAAGTGAAGTTATTGTTGGATACAGTTATATTCATGCACATTAAAAAAGAGATCGGTCATATTTCGCTTTGTGCTTGTATCTGTGTTGGATGCAATTTATATTTCATTAAAAATGAGAAAACTTTCACATAAAATTTTATTGAAAACTAAAACATTTTTATTATGATGGCACAGTGGCGATCACATGCTAAACAATTGGCGAGCACCATGCCGCCTGCGGACATAGGGTTGGGAACCTCTGACTTAAATCATAATACTCATGCTAAGATTCTCATAATTATCTGTAATGGGACATTCCAAATGTCATTCCTCACTATCAGTACAAAGGCAGATATAGCTATCATGGGTTCATCTTTCTCATTGGAATTCCTCAGGAAAGGTGATACATGCTTTTTCAGCATTCTAAGGTTTTTACTTTTATATTACCTATTATATTACCTATATTATTATTTTATATTACCTATATATATTAGTTATTCCTTTTATATTTAAAGTAATGGACTTCTAGGCAGGATGTCATGGAAATGGTGGTAATGGTGTACATGTCAAAGGAAGTGTAGTAATGAATACTGAGTTACAAGCTCTTGTTGCAGCAAATGATAATAACAGGCATTGCTAAATGTCATTGTCTTTTAGTGTTATGATAACATCTCTCGGTGATAGATTTTGTGACATGATCTTCATACGTATTAAATGTCTTCTTGTTCTTTTGTAGCTTTAGGTGCTCCAAATTCCTGTCTTTGATACATCAAACCATATATCCGTTGTCTTCATATATGCATAATTTTATTCCCAGTAAGAAGAGCAGTGATCTCATGTTATAAAAAACAGCCCTCTCTCAGTCTGTTAATTCTTTCTGTTTCAAAATGTGTCAGCTATTTATATTATGTGTCCTTCTGCCTTAATTATGTTCCCATGTATTTGCAAAGTAATATCAACTGGATGCAGTGATGTACTGATGAACATTTTATATGATGCTCAGGCATTCTGCTGTGTGCTGGCCTGTTCCTGGCTGGTATGCAGTGAATGCCTTGTTCGCAGGCGGCAAAATTTAGGGGATGCTAAATCGGCTGAATCCTGTAAAGTGGCACTTATCTGTGCAAGAACAAATAAATTATCCAGTGATTTTTTTTTTTTTTTGTCTAAAAGGCTTTTTCCCCCCCCTCCAAAGACCAAACTAAATTATTGTGTATTTAAAATTATATAAAGGTGCACATAAAAACCTGCCCGCAGGCACTGAACATTTCAGGAACAGGCCTGACTGCATCTTTTCTCAATCCAATAATTCTTTCTCTATCCTGTGGTTTCACTGAATAGCAGTATATTTCCTGTTAGTAAAGTGGTATTGATATCTATTTTTCCAGGATTTGAATTAATATTATTAAATAATAATGTGTTTAGTTAGTGCTTATTACATACAGGATTGTGACTCAAAGCGGGGTTTTGAGACATTTACATTTGAGGCTTTATAGTCTCAAATGTAAATGCAATTATACAGGTTTCCTTCAGTTGCTCAGTTCATTTTCCCCCACCACTGTTATAACCACTATTCATTATCTAAACAAATAAAGAAGGAACAGCTCTTCAAACTTTGCAGGATTGATTGGCACATAAGCTGTTGAATTCACATTTTCTACACACGTTCTTTGTAGATTACAGCACAAATGTGGTGAAGTGATATTTTCTCAATTGGTTTAAATTTGTTTTTAATTTATGTTGAAATGATTTTTTGCATATACGTTCTTTAAACAAATAAAATAAATATCTCAGGATTTTAATGTTTGCATCATCAGATAGAGCGGGGAAAGAAAATAAAAATCTTAAAGGAATTTAGACGAAATTTTAATGTAATTTCTAATTTTTTGTGGCAAATTTGATGGACTTTAAGTTAAAAAAAATGATTTTTCATTATGAAAAAATAATCTTTAAATTGAGCTGTTTGATTAATAACTTGTCATATGATTCAAAAAATGAAAATTAGGAAAAATATTTATAAAATAAGCTTTTATTAAAAAGCTAATGAACTAAAAAAAATTAATTTATCATAATGTTTAATGGAAATAAAAGATTAAATAATCTTCTTTGCAAAATTTGTATACAATTTTATATCTCAAATAATACAAGCATGCACATAACAGTAAATAATGAAATCTAGTAATTGAACTGTATTGGCAAAGAAGGTATTAATTTCATAAATTTATTAAGACTGCTGCATGTTTTTATTATTCATGATATGAGAATTATTAAATCCCCCCCAGTAAACTGTATGATATTTTTCTATTTTTAGTTCATATTTTTTTTTAATAAAAACTTATTCTATAAAATCTTTTGTATTTTATTATTATTATTTTAGATTGGAAATTTCTTGTTTCATTCATATGGCTTTTCAACTCTGAATTGCACTTTTTGTAGGTTTAGTTATTTGGTATTATCTGAGCATTCTGGATAGCTGAGTTTTTATTGTATATAAATGTCGTATGTATATATAATTTGAGTTTTAATAATGTATTTTTTTTCCATTTGAAGTTTGAAGGAAGAAAATATTGTGAGCATGATTTTCATGTGTTATTTGCACCATGTTGTGGAAAATGCAAGACTTTTATTTCTGGTCGAGTCATTAAGGCAATGAACAACAACTGGCATCCACAGTGCTTCACTTGTGAAATTTGCCATACATTGCTTGCAGATCAAGGTTTTATTAAAAATGCCGGGCGGTATGTTTTTTAATATATTCTTTCGTGTATTCTTAATATTTTATGTATTTCATGTAACTTGGAAAACTTGCTGTCTATGTGTACACATTATTTGTAAACTAAGCAATATGATCTTACATTATTTGTAAGTTATTTTAAAATATTACATATTTTACAGGATATATTTATATTTTGTAATTTCTCTATTCATAATTTTTTTGCTACTTAGAGAATTTTGAAACTATTTTAAATTTTTAGTTTCAGACATTTTAAACTCTACTTTCTAAGTAATGAGTAGGGAATTATATTAAAATGTAAGTTAAAAACTTTACCTCCTTTCCCATTTGTGAGGCTTTGCCATCATCCAGACTATCTTCCTGTATTTTTATCTTTTGCAAAAAGGCTTTTAAAGAATAAAAGTAATTACATTAATGCAGTTATGATTGCGTTATAATATTTAGTGGAGGATGCTATTCAAAAAGCAAATGTAATAAACCCTGTTTTGTCACATTCTTCTAAAAGTGACCAGTATTTCTGAAAATATAAATATAAACATTAGTGCCAGTAATTACACAGTCCAGTCACATTAATGTGATCACCTGTCAAAAGCTGGCAACCACTTTTCACAGGTCAACCGCAATGAGACATGCAGAAAGAGATTCAGTTAAGTTCAGAAAGAGATGTATGTTCACAGGAATGTGCAGCCATTCTGATTCTAATGTTGTGGCTATCTGTGCTAGTCTGCGCATGTGGATACATGGCATTAACAGCCCGATCGAGGTAGCCCCACAGATTCTTAATTGGGTTCAAGTCTTAGGAGTTTGGAGGCCAGGGAAGTATGGTAAACTCATTCTGGTGCTCTTCAAACCATGTACATACACTGTGACACGTCACATTTTCTTGCTGGTAGATGCCATCATGTCGAGGAGAAACAGTCTGCACGGATCTATCATGCCTTCCACAATGGTCATGCTTCCACAATGGTGAGTGGACCCAGAGAATGCCACAAAACATTCCCCAGGCCAAAATGTTTCCTCCTCCGGCTTTGACTCTTCCACCAATTGCAGAGTACTTTGTTTTTCAGATAGTTTGCCAAATATTCCAACATTCATCTGTCTGATGGAGAATAAAATGTGTTTCACCAGGAAAAGCCAATGGATGTCCAGTTGCAGTACTGGCATGCAAATTCCAGCCTTCATTGCCAATGAACTGCAGTCAGAATAGGTGCATTAAATAAGTGTCTGCTGCAGAGGCCCATATGCAGCAGTGTTCACTGAACTATTGTTGAGGACACACTATTGGTAGTCCATTGGTTTATCTGGATGGTCAGATGCTCAGTGGTTGCACATCTATTTTTCTAAATAAATCTCTGCAGACATTGTTCACCTATATTATTTATGGCCCATGGTACACCATTTTTGCCACTTTGCTGGTTTTCAATATTGCCTTTTTGCTCTTCTGGGTATGCTTTTACCACAGTAGCATGTGAAGAATTTACACACTTAACCATTTCAGAAATGCTCCCATTCTTGACCTGAAAGCCAGTGAACATGTCTTCTTGAATGTTGCATAAATCGCTCTGTTTCTGCATTTGCCAACGATTTCTATGTTTCTGCTTCTCTTCGACACTCTTTATCTACATTCTGCTGCTAATACTGCTACTTATGTGATTAGTTATTTGAAATTGACTCCGAAAGTAAGTGGTGATCATATTAATGCTACTGGTCAGTGTATAATACATTTTGAGAAGATCATTTTCTGACTTTTGAAATCTGTAAATTATGTATATTTGCAACCATGAAATGATGTTAATTTTGGTATCAACTTAATAGGGTTCCATGTACTATAAATTAAAAAATGTATCTCCAAATAGGGCTGTAATGATTAGGCTCCTGACTCAGCAATTCAAGATTGATCACCCAAGATCTGGAGTTCCTGATCGCCAGTGACTATTTAATTGCATAGAGTGATATATACAGCACAAGTCAAACTTGACAGTACCAGTATTGTCCCTCTTGCATTAGATTAGACCATCACATTATCACTAGTTTTAGTCACTATGAAGGCATATTCCCTGCGACCAATCACCCACAACATACACAATGCACGGAGAGACCAGCTGTTGAGGGGAGGGTCAAAGCCCATTAGCAAGGAACATTGCTGCCCTCCACTACATCAGGGTGTGCACTTGGAGGGATCTGCAAATGGAAGATCTATTTTTTTCTTATGGGGAAATATTCTTTTATGCATTTCTGATGATTTTCTTTTATGCATTTCTGCATTCTGATTTTATTCTTATTTCCATGTGAAGTAAGTTACAGCTTATTTTATGTATCTGTGCAGTAAATTTCTTGAAATTTTAAGTGAATAACTGATAAATGAGAAGTAAATGTATTAAATGTAAAAATAAGATTTAAAGTAATTTAAATTGCTGCTGGGAAAATCTGATAACCATAATTTAAAATGTTACTCATTAACAGTATTGGTGAAAATTAATTATAAAATAAAAAATTAATTTAGCATGTTTTCTGATACATTACGTTTTATTTATAATTTATTAATAAATAATTATCTTAGCTTATTTTCCAATACATACCTGCCAACTTTTACGAATTTTTCGTATTTTTACGAAAATGCTTTGTCTTGCGATTTTACGATCGTAATACATTTTTTACGATTTTTTTCCTTTTCAATTGTTTTTAGTTTTTTTGTTGAAATTTTTAGAATTTTTCGCCAATTCAGCAATTTTAGCCATTGCATCATGTTTACTGCCAACTACCGACTACTTCGAATCCGTAACCTGCGGTTTCTCCCATTTCTCCCAACTCGCCGCTTAACCAGCCAATCCAATGCGCTGAACTTGTTTTCTCCATCTTTCTTTGTGGGCGCCAGATTATTTTTTTCGCGTTTGCTTCACCAGCAAGGCAATTACTGAGCTCGGACTCAGCGAGCATGGATTGTCGAATTCTGTTTGCTACGAATTTTCTTAATACCTCGTTGTTACAAAATAAGTTCAAATGATTAAAAAAAAAAACCGTATTCTTAATATTTTCAGCCTTGCAACGTGTGCGTGTGTGACTTCATAATAAGTCACGGTGGAAGAAGTGCCATTGTGAAGCATGTTAAGTCTAACTTCGACAACGTCTAACTAAGCATCGACAATGTCAAAGAAAGTGGATGATTTTTTTTCAAATTCAGCTACGAATCGGATGCCGATGTCATTTTGGCAGAGTGTTTGTTTACTGCATTCCTTATCGAACACAACGTGCCGCTAACGCGCTGCCGTCACGCCGGTCAACTTTTCAGACGGATGTTCCCGACTCCAAGATTGCTCAGAAATATGCTTGTGCTCGCACGAAAACATCTTCTATTGTGAACGAAATTGCTTGCGATGCACAAAGTAAAACATAGCTGCACTCCAGAATCAGCATTTTTTGTTGTCAATCGATGGCATCAACGACAGCGATTGGAAGCTTTACCCCATCGTTGTCACATATTTCGTGATGTTTCTAATGAAATGAAACTCATCTTTTGCACTCTTCCATTGTTAAATGGAGACGCTACGGAGGAAATATTGCCTCCTTGGTATAATGAGTTGAAACAACTAACATCCCAATATCAAATGCATTTCATTTGGTGCAGATAATGCTCATGTCATGGTGGGTGACAAAAAGGGTGTAGCCTCTTTCCTCAAAAAGGAGGCTACACCCTTTTTGTGGTTATTGGATTGTTATTAGATGCCCATGCCACTTAATTAATTGGGCAGCAGAAAAAGCTGCAGCTGCTTACCATTAAATATTGACCAGCTTCTGATGTGTTTTTCTATCTGGAAAAAAGTGTAAAAAGAAAGAAACGTAAAGAATTTTTCCAAAAACTTGCCGTGAAACGAGAAAAATTCTGAAACAGTATGCACGAGATGGTTATCCTTAGGCAGAGCGCTAAGAAGGTTTGTTGAACAGTGGGATGTATTGCTAAAATATTTTCACAGAGACCAAACGAAACCACAGATCCCATTCAAATTTGTCGGCATATAAAAATACTGAAACCAACTTTGCTTCTAATCAAATGGTTTAAAAGGGAAAAGCCAAACACACAGAATCAAACCCTTTAAAAAGAAAATGCTTAGAAGACTCCTCAAAAGGTCAACTTTGTTAAAGAAGTTGAAGGGAAGAAGAAACAGTCTTCTATTAGCGGGAGGAAGGGATTTTCTTCTTCTTTCTTTGGATTTGAACAAAGCATATTGTATTTGTGTTAAGTACCATTAAGATTTTTGAAAGTGTAAATACCCTTCTAACATTCAGCTTTGCAAAATCTTCCCTGCTTATCCAAATTCTTAATGATCTTTTGAAAGAACTTTATACTAAGTTTGTAAAACCATCCGTAGTGAAAAACAGTGTGTTGATTCGTGTTGCCTATATATTTTGCAAATCAAAAGGATGACAATGATCTTATAATTGGAAACCAGGGAACTTGTAATTCTTTGAAAGATCATGAGAAAAAAGAATTTTTTCAATGTGTTAGAAAGTACTTTTCCTCAGCCTGTGATTACATTGTAAGGAAGTTTCCTTTGCAAAATGAAGTTCTTTTAAATGCTGAAGTGGCAAATTTGAAAAAAAATTGAAAAATTCGTCTTTTGAAAAGATTTGTTTTTTTATTGATAAATTTCCATTTTTGTTAACAATTAAAGAAATAAATGCCATAATAATGCTTTAGATGAACTACAGAACCAAATTTTCTGCTGCACAGTTTGAAGGACTTTGCCAGTTCTGGAGAAGATAGACTTGATGTCGTTGGTACCTTAAAAAGATAAAAAGAGCTGATGGGAACACCAAAATATAGACACTAGCAAGAGTTTTATGTGCTATTCTCGAATTCCACACAGTAATGCTGAGTGCGAGAGAGTCTTCAGTGTTGTGAAGAAAAAACAAACTATATTTCGTTCTTCAATTTCATCCAAAAACTCTAGAAAACATTTTAATTGCTAATGTTATGAGGAACTAATTGTTATGACCAGGAAATTTTCCAAAGAATTTTTGGCTAAAGCCAAAAATGCACTCTAAATTCATTGCAATAATTTTTTTTGTGTAACATTAAGTTCTTGTTTTATGTTTTCCTAATAAATTTTTTTTACTACTTAATTGAGATTTACTAATGTAAGTACAATTTTCTTTTTTCTATTTGTATAAATTGTTATTTTTTATAATATCAAAGCATGATATTAATTCTTCGGGTTCTTCTGAATTTTGGAGAAATCTTCTGAATTTTTGTCTTTAGAGGTTGGCAGATATGCCAATATATTATTTTTTGTTGAATTTATAATTTTAGTAATAATTAAGAAACTGATATACCACATTTCAGTACTTTTATTTGATAAATTTTAGGAGGACTTTTTTTTAAACTCCGAAAAGGTTCATGACTATCAATTATTTTATATATTGAGAGTGTTCTATTTAATAGAGATAATATAATGTTTCTATTTAATAGAGATGACTGATGACATAAATGCTTACTAGCTACTATTAAAATTGAGTGAATGGTACTGTGGAATATTAAAAAGAAGTCATTAAGATTTCAAGACCTCTAAATGTTATCAAATTTGTTATTATTTATTTTTATAGTTAACTTTTAAAAATATATAAGAATTATTCCTGGTTTTGAAGAAGAGACTAATAGTTTTTACTATACTACTATATTAAAATTCATAATATACTTAAATAGTATACTATTAAAATTATTTTCTTTTCAGGGCACTCTGTCATGAATGTAATGCTAGGGAAAAGGCTGCACAAAGTGGAAAATATATATGTTTTAAGTGCCAGTACGTTTTTTCCCCCCTTTCTTTTAAAATGAACTTTAATGTGGTTTTAAATGTCATAAAATAATCTAAAATGTTTTATCCCAATTGTGATAAAGTAGTATTATGCATTTACATTTGCAATAGATTATGTATGATGAAAAGCTACAAATTTCAGTGTTATTGATTTTTAATTTTTTTTTTTTTACCTACCAGAAAATGTTTTTCAAATTTAACAAGCATCTCATCAGTTTCATTTCCTTACTTCCAATTCTGTTTTTCCTCCTGATATTCAGATGAATTTGTGCTACATTTTTGCTGCATACTAACATCATTATTTAGTGTAAGATAGAAGAAAAACAAAAGAATTGAAAAGAAGTTGTGAAGATGAAGGAGGCAGCATTTTCACTTATCTGAAATTCAGAGTTAAATTGGTGATAGTATTGTAAAATAATATCTAACGAAGGACTACTTTAATATGAATGTAAAAATTGCACTGATAGCTAAATAATTTTTCCTGTGTGCTTGTGAAAAATTGCAGCAAAACTTGGATAATAAGTTTTTAGAAAGCAGTTATTGCAGAACTTTTCAGTTTTTAAAAATAATTCCATAAACTATTAAAAACATTTTATTTATTTAACATATTGCTTAATTATTTTTATGATTACAGAATTCTTCACCATACATCCAGTTTTCTTTGATTAGTGTAGGGTATGTGTTTATAGATTCGGAGAAAAACCAAATGATTATGCACTTAAATATGTAATATATGATATTAGAAACATCTTTTATGAATCATAGTAAGGATACAAATTCTCATCATTTCATATGCAATTTCTTTTATGAATAAATTATATGAATTTATGAAAAATTATATGAATCACTGCAATAAGGATTTTCATGAACTTTTCATTATTAATGAAAATCCTCAATTAAGTATATTATAAAATGGTGCTTTAAATTACATCAAGTAGATATAGTATTAAAGAAACAGCAAGTCCTTATATTTTGCTGAATGGCAATATTCAGAAAACTGGCTTATTTGCAAGCCTGCATGGAAGACAAATTACAGATCTTATGTTTGAGCAGTGACAACACAAATTATGTGGATGATCAGTGATATAATGAACATAATGGTCTGAAAGTTTGGAAAGATTTCTCTGAAGTCATTTCTAATGTCAAAATAGTTGTGTGTTACATGTGTCAGCATTTTTTAGAAAATAGATAGCACGTAGTCTTTAAACTAGTAGCCTGTAAAATTTCTGGAAATTGGGACATTCATGCATAAATATACAAATTGTGAATACTGAAGAAGTAGTCCAGGTTACTACTAATACTGAATAACTCAAATAATGAGGATATTGTAAAGACCTTATTTTATTCTAACCAGTTATTTTTAGTTTGAATTTCCTTTCCCTCCTGATTTCAGAATGTAAATTTTAATGACTGCAAAATCTAAGTGTGTTTAGAAGCAGTATTTAAGCTGTGTTTCAAGAGTTTGTGAGGAGTAGTAGTAGATTTAGTTCTGAGATTATGCTGCATGATTAAGATAGCTCTCTACTTGGTGTTAGACACCCTATGGATATTCTAGCGGATAACTAAGGATAAGATAACTAAAGATCCAGTCGTTAGCTATCTCCCAATTTATTGTGATTTTACATTTTTATTTTCTATTCAATTTAGTTTAGCCACAAGTGATGGTGAATTGTGAGCATTGAGGGCATGCATCTTGTTACATTAATTCAAGTAAAAAGGTTATTTAAACCTTCGTCTGTAGTATCTGTTCAAGACATAGCAAAAATTCGCTATGCAGTCTTTCATGTAGAGTCTACTGTGAATGTTCCCAAAGACATAGACTCTACAACACTAAGTATCTTAGCTAATAGTTAAGGATACTTAAGTAACTAAAATAAGGACTGTTAAAGTATTGGGTAATTAAAATGATAAGGATGATAATATAGTAGTAGTTAATTCTAGGGGCAGAATTTTTTTCTAGGGAAAATAAAATGGGGGTTGTCATTTTGTTACTGTCAGTATCAACCAGGAAAACAATACTATAAAATGTTTTTGCTATGTATTTGTTTTTAATTTCTTTTATTTGTTAAACAAAGTCCGAAAATTAGGCATATGATGAAAAAATTAAATAGATTCACCTTGATAATCAAAGTTCTGAATAAGTGTTGAAAAAAACACACTACTCTCATTTTTAAATGTCAATCAAGATTGAAAAAAAATTTTCACTGTTCTGACAATTCTCTGTTGTCCTCTCTTTTTAAATAAAAAGATTTTTGTCGCTTGAAAGAGATAATATTTCAAGGTAATAGTTGATTTTATCTTGTATATCAGAACATTTTACCTTCTTCTAGAGTTTATTTTATGCTATCCATAGTTTCCAAAATACTTGCAGAGTTAGTTAATAAGTTTTTTAAATTTTAATAAAAAATATGTAAATAAGTGCATAAGGAATCATTTTCATGCATCATTGAAAAGTTTTTTTTCCTGCAGAATTTGAATATTTTTACTTAAATATAATTACCAGTTCTTTAAAATTTAACTGCAGTTTCAGGCCTAAAGGCTGTAATTTTTTAAATTATAAATAAGAAAGAAATATCTGCCTATCAATTTTTAATTTGAAATTATGTGTTATTTCGGTACTTTTCCATTTTGCCGGCACAGGCGATAAAGTCGCCAGTAATGGTACAACTGATGCCAAACAAATCCTCGCAAACCAATTTAAATTTAGATAGAAAGCCAAAGGCTATTCCATTGAGGATGCTATGTGTTAAGGGTATTATATAAAGGCGCAGGTTTAAGTCGTAAGTTGTGAATGATGCAGGATATTTCGCTGGTGGACATTATTGATTTACTGAGGATTTTTTTGTGATTGTTGTGGATGCAATTTGGTTACAGAATGTTTCAATCAGGATGTTGGCCTTTTGCTCTTGGATTATTGGCTGTAAGGCGAAAATATATCAAAAGGTTTACAAAAAAATTCTTAGACTACAATTTGAATTGTGTAATTCTTGTTTTTAAATTTATATTGCTTGGCGAAACATTAAAGTACGTTAAGATTCTGTAAATATGTATGAGATCAATGTGATAGAAAGCTCAGGATGGAACCATGAGCATATGTCTTTAATTAACATATTAATATGCCAATTCACTAACATTTGTTATGTATACTGTATGTTGTCGCCAATAAAGTCTGCTTGGCGAAACAGAAAAGTACCGTTATTTTTTTAATATTAAAAGTATATAACTAGGAAATGACATATTTAAACAAAATTATATGCCATAACTTTGTTATTATTCTTTATTTATTTATAGTGCTGTAATTGATGAAGGAGTTTTGAAGTTTCGAGGAGAACCCTATCATCCATATCACTTCAACTGTACATCATGTGGGTAAGTTTTATATAAATAAAATGGGAATTTCATTTCTATGGCCATCTACAGCAGCTTTGTCAATACTAAAAATTAAAATATTATTAGAAAGAGTATTAATTCACTCTGGTTTCCCCTGAGAAATATCAAAATGTGATATGTGAACATGATATGTGAATGTGTGAAGTGCGAGCACAAATATGATATGTGAAGTGTGAGTACAAATATGATAAAGCTCTCTGCTTACACTGCAGATTTTTGTAGCATGTTAGTAGTTTGTAGCTACTAGGGTTTATTTGTAGCATGTTATTTGTTTGTAGCTACCAGCAAATACTATGCTATTCAATATTTAATAATTTTTTCATCAATTTATCAGACTTGCAGAAGATTTGAATACAAGTTGTTTTTCCTTCAATAATTCCAATATGTATATGAAGTTGTACAAAAATTGCAAATTACCAAATAATTTAACTTTTAGCCAAATTAGAGCGGGGTGGTATTTATTCCTCTAGTAGCCCATCCATGTATTAATTAAAAAATTTTATTATGTATATTAGAATATTCTTTCATTAAATTATAAAATTTCGTTACAAATAGAATGATACATTGGAAAAAACAATTCAAATTGTATTCTCAAAACTGCTTATAATAAAAAAAATACTGTGTCAAATTGTTTCTTATATTATAAAGATTATTTTCTATTTTAAAGGATTTTTCTTAATTTATCATTTTGATTTTGCTCAAATTAAAAATCCAGATAATGATATTCAGTTTCATGACATTAAAATATGCTCTTGTGAAAATGTACACCATAAATGTACAATGGAAAGATTTAAACTAAAAAATTCTCATCCTCCCACTTAGAAGCAAATTTTATTAAAATCAAGCAAAAATTTTTGTTATGTATGAAGTACTCATCTCGATAATTTTTTATGTTTTGTGTCCATTTCAACAATTATGGAGTGAAGATTTTTTATTACTCAGATATGTTTAATTAGATGCCGTGGCCTGTTTTAATATTCATTTTTAAATAAAATAAGAAAATATTATTTTGCTTATTATTGATTTCTGCAGACTTGCTCTGAAAAGGAGATAATAAAAATGCTGTTCATTTCAAAATTTTTCTGATAAATAAATATATTCACTAATGTTACTATGCTGTCAAATGAAGGAGTGAAGCTGAAATGCAATCTACTAGAAAAATAATTGCTTAGAATCTTTTAAGAAGGAATTAGAAGTTAGTATTTCTGGCTTAACTTCACCTTGGCTACCTAATATTTGAAATATCGAGTTTTGAAAAATTCTGTTTAATACCAGGCGATAAACAAAGCAATATTTAAGTTTGAAAGCTACATTGAAGGTGTAGCATGTTTCCATTTTTCTTACTTGCATGAAAAAAAAAAAAAAAAAATATGTTCTGAAGATTTTAATTGAGTGTTTAATTAAGATTAATTAAGTGTTTTTTTATATACAGAAAAAGAAACACACACATATCTAACTTTTAATTTATTTCTAAGGATAAGTGGATGTGTTTAATGATATGTAAATTTTACACAATAATTAAAATTTTACACATTACTTTTAGTAATAATATGATCAAGCTTTCCTAAGTAAAACATTTTTTCTTTTTTAAGTAAAGCTTGCACAAAATTCTGTAACTTTAACTTTTGGTATTGAAATATAGTATCTTTCTTATCATGCTCTTTTAAGGGAATATTTACCTATAACAAAACTGCATACTTTTTATTTATTTATTAAGGTTTTCTGTAACTGCAGTGGATATCAGTGAAAAACTTCCTTCTCTAGAAATAAACTTGATGCTTATTTTTAAGCTAAAAAATAATATTTTCACTTTCCATCGTGCATATTTTTTGTAATACAGGCAGAGCTAGGCCAAGAGGTAAGCAAGCGCCCACTGAACCTCAGATGAGCAACTGTAAGGGGCATCAAATTAGCTATGAAAATTTAAGAATTCATTTCTAAAAATAAGTTTTAATTTTCAGCATTGAAATACACAAAGAAACACCATTTTAAAACCTCATATTTAAAGTAGCAAAAAATTTCATTACCATTTCTTAAAATCATTTAACCCTCTCAGTGTTACGGCCGGAAAATTCCGCGTAGAAGGCTGCTTTCTATATTCATTATACATGAAAATTTCTGCTAGTTTTTAATGTATCTGATTTTAGTTTGGGTGTATATTGGAAGAAAAGGAATCCAGGCACAAAATGAGAGAGTCATTTTTTAATTAAGATCAAGAAAATACCACTTATTCAAGACATTTTGAGGAACTTTGAAATTTCAGGGCTAAACCCGTAACGCTCGGAGGGTTAAAAGTATTGCATTTTTGGAGTAGCTTTCAAGTAAACACAGTATTACCCAAGAAACACCATGTTGCTGACTTGAGTAATTCTCTTGTCTCCCTGCAGTCAATACAGCGTTTAGTGTATTACATCGTCATAACAAGAATTTATTAGCTGTCTTTTAAAATTTATTACCATGTCTAAAAATGTAATCTATTGTATTACTAGTTTCTTCTTCCAGGTTTCAAACAAAATTTAGCTTGCTCCATTTTTTATTATGAAGTTAAACACTGGATGAATGTATAGTTTGAGTTTTCATCCTGATGCACCTATATTTACTTTTCCTCAGAACTGTGCAGTCGGTTTGATAAAGCTGCTGTTATTTCTAGATATTTTTTAAGAATCAGCACCTCAGTTTCATTTTCTGTTGTATTTCATTCAAGATTAAAATGAGATTAAAAAAATGCAAGATTTTTTTGAATTGTTCTGCTGTTTATAATGAAATAATAAAATGAATTGCTATTGCCAAAGAAAGAAATAAGAAGATTCAAAATTGAATTTTGTTTTGAAAGGACATAATGTCCTCAGATCAGTGTCATTATATGATTATTTGCATCACTTCTGAATACATAAAGCTGTAATTAAAAGCATTATAAAAGTATCATGATTTAATATAGTTATTTTTGATGATTCTACTCTGCGTCGAGATAACATTTGACTTAAGGTCTTTATATATATAACAAACAGGTTAAGTCATCTTGATGGTATATTTTTATTGAGTCTTATTAAGAAATTTATGTTATTTTTTACGTTTTCTGGGACACGTAACAGTTTTAATACTTGGAAAAATATAATTTATACATTTATATTTAATAAAAGAATAGTCAAGAGATTCAATACATTTTTTATAGACACAATAGAGAATATTTCATCGTATATATTCTTAGAATATATATAGAATAGTCAATATTCCATACATTGATTGTGTATGAAGTTATATCTGAAAAATTTTGTAGTAATGTTTATTTTAACCTTTAACCTAAACTAACCAACTAATGTGTGGTATATAGTCAAGAGATTCAATACATTTTTCATAGACACAATAGAGAATATGTTCATCGTATATACTCTTAGAATATATATGGAATAGTCAATATTCCATACATTGATTGTGTATGAAGTTATATCTGAAAAATTTTGTAGTAATGTTTATTTTAACCTTTAACCTAAACTAACTGACTTAACTTTCTCTTACACTGGTGCTGGACAAAAGTAAAAAGAATAATAAAATAAAACTCTGCAAAGCTGCGACCTTATTCTGTGCAGAGGAACTGGGAGATTGATCTAAACCAAGTTAAATCAAATGCACATCCTTAAAGTCAATTCACATCAAGATTCCAGTTCAAACTTGTTAATCCATTAGCTGCAGGTGTTGCGTTGACGCAATGATCAAAAATAAATGCGTATATAAATATAACTACCTAAGATATTTTATACCAGCAGATGATTTTATGTAGGGAATATTATGAAGATTGTTTCTGTAAAAAAAATATTTGCCTTCAGCAATCATTTTATTTATAATAATTAATCTCATACTTTAAGCAAACTTTTCGACTAGGTATTTTTGCCGAAAATATTTAACGAAAGGATCACTGTCTTTATGAGTGATCTATTTTTAGTCAAGGTCACCATTTATCAGAACATCACATGAATCAGATGTTTATATTTGTGTTGGGAAAGAAGGGAAAACAGGTGTTGCGCTGACACAACGTCCGCAGGAAACGGGTAATCTCTTTTTTTACTCCTTCCATTCGATGTCTGGTTGCTTTAAAAATGTCTCTAATGAGGTATTTTTTACATTAGAAGAAGCCCTTTAAAGATTTTTTGATGAAGAAACAGATGATGATAATGTTAATAATGACCACAATGAAACTGATATTGTTATTCCCCCAGAAATTGCAGAAGCTAGTAATGAAGAAGAAGGGAATGACAATGTTTTAAACAACAATATTTTACCAAGTGATATTGCTGGGAAAGTTGAAATTCACATAAGATGTAAGTTTCAGCCTTCTAAAAGCAGTGGTAGACATAGGAAAAAGTTTAAAAAGCAGAAAACTGAAAACTTGAAATGGATAGAAAAGGAACTGTCTGTTTGTATGTTTCAGGAAGAGAGATAGAAGAGAAACTACAAGAGATGAAATACAAGGTAACATTAGTGGAGAGATTTTCGATTTTCTTTTTGGTTTAGATGTTTACTCTCTTCTCGTTAAACAAATATATATGCTCAGCAAAAAAATCTCCCAGAATTTATTGCATCTGAAGCCTATATGGGAAGATTTATTGGAATATTATTGCTTGTGGGTTATCCTTCTTTACATCAAGAAGAAATATATTTGTCTCTTGATAAGGATGTTTCTGTTCCTATTGTACGAAAATCGATATCACGTTTGCAGTACAGGAATATGAAGCAGAATTTGCATTTAGCTGACAATAGTCAAACTGACAATACTGATAAATTATATAAGGTGAGACAGTATCTAAACTTACTAAATATCACGACTTTCTACTACTGGAAATAAAAAGTCTTTTAGATTTCAGGCACGAGATTGCATTATTCCTTTTGCAAACTCCTATCGAGAGTGTAGAATTCGCCAGAAATAGATCAGCAACAAGAAGACCTAGTAAATTCTGCATTCAAAAAAACCACTGCATGGAGATGGTAGATATTTTATTGTAAAGTCCGATGATAACAAAAGATTTCGTAGTAAAGGGTGCCATAGCCAGACTGTTATAGATACAAAGTATGTAATGTAGCTTTACATCATGATTGTAGTGACACTTTTCATGCTTGAATCTTTCAATTGAAATAATCTGTATATGTAAAAGAAATATAATGTATATTTTAATATTAAATATATTACAAGTAAAGCGATTTGTAGATTTAAAACGATATACAGCTAAAAAGTATTCCAGTGCTCCACTCAAAGGAAACATCCCACAAGTACAATCCTATCACTAAACATCCGTAGTCTTATTCTGCTGACGTTGCGCATACGCAACACTCGCATTTTCCACAGGTAAGAGCATTTTTTTTTTATTTTCAATGTAAATTTATGTTATAAATGCTTAATTTAATATTTGTTATTATTTTCAGGAGAAAAGAATCATTCCTTGTAGTTTTGGCGGTTAATGGGTTAATTCAATAATCTGAAAGTAAAGAGGAATAAATCTTCACTGGTGCTTGAGCATAAAATCAAACTTATATTTTCTCCAATTAATGCAATCCCAGTTCATTATGAATACTATTTCTCATTCTTAATATACCATTACTGTCTCAAATTGTACAATTTGTCTTGCAATACTTATGTTTTCCCTGAACGATTCATTCTGTAATTCTTAATATACCATTACTGTCTCTAATGGAATTCCTAAAAACACAACATTAACAGAGAAAACAGAGAAAAATACACACTTATTTTCATAACTTTCTCTAGAGATATCATTAATTCAGTGCACGAATACACCACCTTACAAACACAAGGGATTCCTGCATATCAATCAATCAGTTCCTCATAAAGAATAAATTCACTAGTTTAACAAATTCCTCAGCACCTTCAAATGTTCAAATATCTCAATAATGATAATAAAAACTAATTTTATATTTAAAATCAACAGCTTAAAATCTCGTAATTTTTTTATTGTTGTCTAAAATTGATTTTAAACGATATAATCCATAATGAATGCATCCATTATAAAATTTATCTCCATTACATTTAACTATTAATATTACTAACTGAAATCTAGTTTTTTCATTTAAAAAAAAATCTCTTTATTTGTTTAATGAAATGTTTTGTTATGTTTAATTTAGAAACCTTTTGTAATTTTTCTTTTAGTGTGGAATTAAATGCCGAGGCAAGAGAAGTGAAGGGAGATTTATATTGTCTCCGATGCCATGACAAAATGGGCATACCTATCTGTGGAGCTTGTAGACGTCCAATTGAAGAACGCGTAGTGACTGCATTAGGAAAGAACTGGCATGTGGAAGTAAAAAATATATATATATTTATACTTATATCACTAATTATCAACATAGAGATGAATATATTGTACTTCTATTGACATGGCTAAAATACTTTACATTTAACCCATATTCAAATCATGTTCTTTTGTGTGAACTATGAATTGTTATGCCCTAGAATGCATTCTTCTGTTACTGATGTATCATTTTGGATTAATTCAGTTATTTCTTATTTAATAGAATGAAACAGTAGCGTTAGGGTTTGGTAAAGCTCGTTGATTTGAAGCTTGGTTAAGCTCAAGCTTGAGCATTTTTTCGGGCTTTCGAGCATTTGAAGTTGACATACTTACATTATCAAAAGACTTATAGTGGACTTATAATTAAAATAATATTTTTTAGAAATTTAAAAGAAACTTTTTCTTTACTCATACATTTATTTATGCATTTATATTAATGAAACAATATTTTAAAAACACCAGTGCATGTTGTGATTTATCTGATAGCTTCAACCTAATTTTGGTGCAAAAATTGTTGGCCATGAAAAATGCCCTCTCAGAATCTATCAACGTTGGTTTTATACTGTAAATAGCTTCAAGTAACCGCTTTAAATTTACAGTCAATTCACCATTACTTTTTGACGAAGTAAGTTCTTGACTTAATTTTTTAAAGCGGTCACCTTCTGGTAGTTTGCTGGTTGGAGCTTCTAATAGTACTCTTAAGTCTTCAAGAGAAGCACCAACTTTGGTAGTTGTTTCTGCTTCACTGCTTGATTTTTCATTTGATGAATTTGGTGATCAATCTGGTGACAGAAATAAATCCTTCATCAAAGCAGCTGCTAGTTCTCTAGAAGCTTTTGATGGCTTATTATTTAAGTTGTATAGTGAATTCATCAAATCTATGATGTTTTTGTTAATCCTGCTGTTGATGTAAAAATCGATATTTTCAAAAAGAGAACTACTTATTTCAGATTCTTGTTCAGTTAACTTCGCTCGCATAAAGTTGATAGAAATATATGCCGTTTATAACGTGGCTTGTTTCTCACCCATAGCGTTAAGTGCCAGTTCAATTGGTTTTAACGCCAAGACTTATCGATTTTATTAATTCCAGGTTTAAATTTTATAAAAAATGTTCAGATCCCAGTTCAACGAGTACATTCCTTGTAATGTCATACAATTTTACAAGTGTTTCAAGCATTTTCAGCCTTGAATTCCATGTGGTTTTACAATCCAGAGAGAGTTGTTGCTCTATCTGTAATTTTTCTCTACATTTAGGCTTGAGAAAATCTGAACGCACAACAGAAATTTTGAAAAAAAATTACAATTTGTCTCGCAATACTTATGTTTTCCTTGAACGATTCATTCTGTAATTCAGTTTCATTAATGCTCAAACCATTACCAACATCATCAATCTCTCCTGAACTTTCGTCTATACTTTCTTCTGCCCCTGATTTTTCTTTATAAAATGTTTTTTGTAACAGCCAATTGCAAGGCATGTGCAAGACATGTTTGATAAAAAGCAAGTGATTCTTTTCCGAACTTGATCATAACACTTGCTCCATCCCCAGTAGTGGATACAATATCGTGCTTTAAATGATAGACCAAAAGATTTGAGCTGCTCGTATTCTCTGGTTACCGATGCTGGTCCATTCATCCATGGTAATAGAGATTCGGCAATATCTTTTTTAGTATCATTTTTGATTTTTTGTTTCACAGGTTCCATATGGTTATGAACAAGAGCCATTATAGATTTTTCTTTGGCTGGAAGCTTCATATCCCTTAAGGGCAGTGATTGTCGAATAAACTCTGACTGAGTGATTTGATGAATTGATAACCCTTCTACTGCAGCCATTTTTGCAACAATCTCTTCAATTCATGTTTTCATTACAAAATTATCCAAAGTTTTTTTTTTTTTTTTTTTTTTAAGCTGTCGTTTCTGCCTCAGCTTTGTCAACGTCAATGTTATGAACACTGCTTAGATGACGACGCATTGTTGACGTATTTCCATTTAAAATGGAAATTTTTTTATTGCATTCATTGCAGCATGCATAAATTTGGTCTGCCATGGCGAAATGACTCCAAATGGTTGATCTTTTGTTTTTCGGCATGATTACTATTCTAGAAAAAAACAGAAAATACTATTCTAGAATATGTGTGTATTCACGGCTGTAACTCCAATAATATTAACCATTTTTACCGAAATATTGCTAAAATTTCTACTAAAATTTGTGTTGAGATATTAGTAATTGCATTCTTATTGGTAAAGGAAAATAGAGCTTTCTGTTTCGTCCGATGCATTAGCTTTCTGTCAGGTCCGAAGTATTCCGAAACTTAATCCCATTCTATTTGTTTATGACCTGTTAAAACATGATCTACTTGTATCTCTGTTTGTATTTCTTGACTTGTGTCGAATGGAAAGAGAGTGACAGCGCGCAACAGCACGCTTTTACTCTGCATCAGATAAAAGAATGTCTGGAACAACAGAAGGATGATAAGAAGAATCGATATGGTAGAATGGGATAATTTCATTTAGCCGCCATAAGTCGGCGAAGAAAGTGTTTGTATTTCTGCTTGTGTCTCTGCATGTATTTCTTTGCGTATTACTCTGTAATAAATGTTTGCTTTGCGAAACACGACATTTTCAATGTTCAACAATTTGTAATTTTCTTTTTTTACTGAGAAAATCATTATTTAATATTACATACATGTTACTATTTAAAATCAAAAGTATATTGTTTCTATTGGTAAAGATTCAAAATCCTTGCATTTCTATGTACTGTACTGTAGGCAGCAACAAATTCATTTCTTTACTGAAACAAGTTTCAACACTGATCAGGTAAAAGTACTGGTAAAAGTAAAAGCATTATTTTACTGTATATATCTATAATCCTTTTATTGTTTAACTTTACTTATCTGTAATACAATTACAAAAGTTTTAGTTTTTATGTACTTAAGAAGGAGCAGTTTTATGACACCAATAAAATGTCTTCTAGGATTCTTAAGAAATATTCTCACAAATAAATTAAAAATAAAATGCAGAATTAAAAACATTCTGTATGTGCAGAGCTCAAAACCCTGTCGGGCTTTTATTCGAGTATCGAGTACTCGAAAATGACAAAAAATTATCGAGTATCAAGCTCGAGCCTAAGCTTGTTCCAAACTCTAAGTAGCGTGGTAGCCAGTGGTCCAAAATGGAAGCTCTTATTCCTTCTTCCGCCGCCTGCGAGGTTCAGTCGGTGATAAAGTTCTTAAGTGCACAAAACATTGTGCCAATTGAAATTCATCGTCAGCTCTGTCAGGTCTATGAGCCGAACATCATGAGTAAGCAGATGGTGCGTCACTGGTGTACACAGTTTTCGGATGGTCGTCAAAGTGTCCATGATGAAGAGTGCAGTGGGCAACCGTCCTTCATCAATAATGATCTTGTTGAGCTTGTATGGCAGCGCGCGTCAATGCTTTGGCGGCATAGTGGATCTCTGGTCGGGACAAAATTCAAACAGACGCTGTCGGTGCAGAAAGTGATGTGCACTGTGTTCTGGGACAGGAAGGGCATTCTGCTCACTGAGTTCCATCTGCATGGTGAAGCAGTAAACTCTGACTGTTACTGTGAAACACTGCAGAAATTTCGAAGTGCCATCCAAAACAAGAGGCATGGAATGCTTATCTGCAGGTGTTGTGCTCCTCCATGACTATGCCCGTCCACATACGGCTCGACACACAGCAGCTGTTTTGATGGAATTTGTCTGGGAGTTGTTTGATCATCCACCCTACAGCCCTGATCTTGCTCCCACGGATTTTTCATGTTTTCTTGCACCTCAAGAAATTCCTGTCCTATGGTGAGCATTTTGGCAACGACGAAGAGCTGAAGATGTCTGTCCCATGCTGGTTCCATTCACAGGCACCACAGTTGTACAACAGAAAGATACAAAAGTTGATCCCATGATACGACAAGTGTCTCAGTTCAGGACGGTTATTCTACGCTACAAGAGTCGACAGCAAGTTGTGGGCCGCCAGATGTTGCTGCTAGTGAAAAACAGGTCTGCCCGACATCCTGTATTCTCCGAGTACGGAAGTTGTCGAAAACGCGCGAAAAAAGTGTTGCCACGTCGTCAATCAGAGTTGTGCAGTTGACGTATTAAGTAGACAATGGCTTTGTATATGTTTTTGCCGCTGATTTTTTTCATGTTTAAACGAAGAATATGATCGTAGATCTCTGAATCAGTGGCGAATTTATAGAAAATATGTTGATGCTTTTCCTCTGATGTTTCATTGTTCAGAAGATGTTTTCGTTGCGTATTTCAGATTGCCAAAATTTATAGTTATTTTAATTTGCGATGAACTGAGAGAGTACTTGGAGCCACATTCAGAAAACAAGAACGAGCTGCATTCAGAAAACAAGAACGAAAATTTCTACTGAAAGAAAGGTTATTTATACTATTCCTGAAATTATAGATATAAATTGCAATTATATGCTTTAAAAATGTAGATGATAATAAGTTTATCAAGCACATAAACCTTCTTCATTTAATACGAATATAGACATCCGAAATATAGACTTCTAATCGGTTTATATACAACAAGAATTACGTTTATTTTAAAATCTAACAGTTGAATACGTTACGAACAATACTGTGAACACAAAAAGGAATATCGTTCATTATTACACGAAATTCACACTACTGTAAAATAAAAATAATAAAACTATAAAATAGCTTTATAATATTTTTTCAGTAGCAGTACTACTACTAGTGTGATACTTTTAAAAATAAGTTTTAGTCCAGAAGGGCTATTAATTTTGTTTTGCCGTTTTATGGTGTTTCACTTTTCAAATCGTTGCCACCAAAAAAATTATCGCACTGTATTATATTTAAATAAATTAAATAATGAGGAATCTGCATAAATGTATGAATGTTTCTCGCACTGTGATAAAACAACAGTACTTAGAGCCATGAAATTTTGAATAATGTAATTCTCCATCCTAATATAGGCATCTCGAGGCCCAAATTAGGAACTGGGAATTTGTTTTATTGTCTATTTCATATTTTGGGAAGCATTTATGAATGTTTGATTAAGAAACTCAACGATTTCAAAGCGAGCAATGGCAACATTGTACGGGGAAAAAAACATTTCTTCTCTAGCGTGCGAGACTATGTATCAGAAATTCTAAAGATATGCTCTTTTTAAATAATATGATATTGCTGTTGAATTGAATTTTATGGTTTAAGTGCAAAGAACATGATATTTAATAAATAAAGGTAACACGCAAAACATTAAAAAAGGCCCTTTGGGAGTAATATAAAATCTGTGGTAGTAATATAAAATTTGAAGGCTTTCAGTTTTTTTTTTTTTTTTTTTGGTTTTGTGTGTGTGTGTGTGTATGTGTGTAATTTTATTACGTTTTAAAACTATTTTCTAAGGGAAACTGGTTCGTATACACGCTACATATGGGAAAAGCCATGCAAACGCCGATGCAGCCAGCTCGTTTACAGCTTTGTTCTGGAAAATTTCACCTTTAGCTTGCGATGTCGAAAACTTTCAAATTTGCGGCTATCATCTTCGTTGTCCTCACCATGAAATATGGTAGCTGGCCATAAATTATGCCAAGCATTTTTTAACGTATCTGGAGACACATCCAACGCACATGAGCATGCATAAACATGCATTAACTTGCATGCTTAAATGCATTACGTGCAAGCATAAAGCATACAAAAAAAAAAAGTTTGTGGCTTTGAGGTCCGGATTATAGATAATTTCGGATAATGGACGTCCAGATTACGGACTTTGTACTGTATTAAAAAAAGTATTAGTAATTGTGTGATAAATTGCAATATGAATTAATCACACATACAAGATAGATTAAGATAATTTTGGTTATATATTTCATATTCAAAAAATATTTTCTTTCATGTTAATTATAGAATAAATTATTTGAAATAAAACATTTTGATGCGTGTGTGATAGCTGAATGCAGTAGCAATCGGGGATACTGTAATAGCGAATGAATTTTATTTCTTTTCCTGAAAGAAATAATTTTCATAGGAAAAGAAAAGGAAGAAATATTAAGAAAGAAATATTTTCTTTCTAATTTCTTACTTAAAGAAATATTTTTCTAATATTAACTCTAAAATAAATTGCGTGAAAACAGTTTTAATGTAAGCATGGGGGGGGGGGAACTTAGTTTGCTATTAGATTGTAATGCAAATTAATCATATTATAAATTTAAATGATTAAAATTGTTTATTTCTAAAAAAGATTTGAACTAAGCTTAATTCATTTACTCTTATCTATTTACTGTTGCTTTCATGGTATCACATATCACTCTTTATTTCTTAGTCCTAAATTCCTGCGTTAACTTTCCCTTTAAAAAACGGGATTTTCCTTCACATAACACAGCAGCATATTCTACTGAGTGGTTGTCATAATAATGTTTTGTGCCATTTTTTTTTTTCGAACTACAAATTCAGCGTGTGAGTTAGTGAAATAATGGGAGAATATTTCTAGAATTTGAGCCAGCACACGCTTTTCGTACTGTGATTGTTCTAAAGCTCCTTGAAGCCTTATCCCCTTTCAGTAAACTCAAATGGACCCACCTGCCCACCAACTGAGGGTCACAGAATGGCTTTCTCTGATAAGTTGTGATGTCTGTCCGTACCAGTTTTTTGAGTCAATATTATTCGTGTAAGTTGTAGACAGATCCATTGATCCTAGAATAGACGTCCGGGTGGTGGCTATGTTGAAACATTGCTGTACTTGTTGCCAATAAATATGTTCCTGAAAGTGTGAATTCTTTTTTTTTTTTTTTTTTTTTTTAATTAGGGAAGCTTACTTTTTGGATGCCCTATGCATGTTTAATAATGGGTATGAAATATGAAAATTTTATGTATTATGCTATTTAATATTTAAATATATATGCTGAGATGTCACTTCCTGCAGTAGTTTCCAAAAAAATTAGATTTTCTTGTTATCATTCCCGCAATAGATTTTTTCCATTAGCTTTACAGCCCCGCCAAAAAAAAAAAAAAAAAAGGAAAGTATATTCCTGTAGCTATTTAAATAGGCAGATCTAAAAACCTAGGCCGCTTAGAGGGTTATTTGTAAAATAAAAGGAAAAAACTTAAGAACTAATTATTATAAGTGGATGGAAATGATCATTTATATATGTAGCTTATATACAAGAATAATATTTTTCATTTTACAAATTTTTTGCAACTTAGGTGAGTAATCTCAGTAAAAATATCAATAAAGAAGAGAGTTATTAAAAATAGAGAAAAAGTTAGCAGCAAAATTTATTGGATATTTTAATTTGATACTAAATATTATTCATAATAAGGTAGTGTTAAAGCATAAGATATTTTTTGAGTGGAAAATGTATTAAAATTCATATTTTGTATTACACAGAAGGTATAATTTTATCATTGTTGCATTGTAAGTAGTAACTGCTCCCCATTTAAGAAATTTTTAACAGTGAAGATAGCACATGAAATCAAGGATAGAGAGATGGATATGAGAACAGTTTTCAAATGCCTTACACCCATATAAGTATGGAATTATCATTTATGGTAACAGGTATTAAATAATAATTAAACCTTCAAATATAGTGTTGGAAGACTCTATTATTGAAATAATGATTTTATGATTTATTGATGGGAAGTCTGGCTTTAGGTTAGCAATTTCATATTGGGGGGGGGGAAAGGATTACAGACTTCATTTACTTCATTTACTAATAGATAGATGATATAGAGAGATGAAAAATACGCATAGATTTCAAATGCAGTTAAATATTCATTAAAAAACTTTTGATGTGTCTTCATAAGTTTTCTTCAGAATAATGTGTCTAATTTAAATGTGTTTATTTGATCTTGTATATCTTTCTAGCATTTTGTGTGTGCTAAGTGTGAGAAACCATTTTTGGGACATAGGCATTATGAAAAGAAAGGATTGGCGTATTGTGAAATTCATTATCATCAACTGTTTGGAAATTTATGTTTCGTTTGCAATAATGTCATAGGAGGCGATGGTATGTATATGTGGAGTTAAATATTTAGAACTAAGAAATAACATGAACATGCCATAAATTTATCTAGGAATATGCATCATGTATAAGTATTATTTAATTTATATGAATTATTATATATATTTCAGCAACCTGATTGATGCATTATTTTTTACAGTTAATAATTCATTAAATGTAATAGCTTTATTTATTTGCAATTTTTAAAATTCTTGTTAAAAATCCCTTCTTCCAGCATCTGAATCAGAACTTAAAGATTCATCTTAGGCATGCTTCCCAAATGCCTTTACCTTCTGTTTCATTTTTTCCTAGCAGTAGAGAAAATGCTTAAAGCTTTCTCTTTAATAGTGCAAGTACTAACTAGAAAATCATTTTACCTGTAATTCATAAACCATTTTCATAACTTCAGTTTCAAGCAAATTGTATTCCAAATCAAGAATATTTAGTTTATTTAAAAATAGTGTGCATTTTTGCTTTGCATTTACTAAAAAGCATCCCATTTAAAAAATTTTTATCACCTTTGTATGTGTCACTAAATATATTATTATGTAACCAGGAAAAATAACCTTCTGTCACCACTCCAACAGTTTAATTGTGCAGTTACTTGATTGAATGCTGTTTGATGTTCTTTCCATGATGACATTCTAGATAAAAATAATGCTTGACTTTGCTATGACTGCCCTATGTAAAATTCACCCCATTATTTAATTTTGAAAACATGAAATTAATAAACTGTATTAACTTGCAAAATATGCTAAACATTAGTAAATTGAATAAATGACTGTAATTTTCCAGTTTAACATTAAATTACTTAATTACTTTAAAAGTCAGTAGTTTGAATTTTTGTAATAATCTTAAAAGTTAATGTACACATTTACCATATCCTAGACTTTTAAAGTAATTAAAGACATTTTTATTTCTATTCCAGTTTTCTCTGCCTTAAATAAAGCTTGGTGTGTCAATCATTTCGCATGTTTCGTCTGTGACCAGAAAATGAGTCAAAAGTAAGTTGTGTTAACTTATAGAGCTGTTTTTGAGAATACTCTGGATATTCATGGTTTTAATGTAGATGTATTTTATTTCAGAACAAAATTCTTTGAGGTGGATTTGAAACCAGTGTGCAAAAAATGTTATGACAAGTTTCCAGGTGAATTACGTAAAAGACTGAAAAAGGCATATGAAGCATCCCCAAAGAAAATCATAACTTAAGGTGTTTTTATTGCTTTGTTTGATACTTAATATTTGTAATGTAGCTAACCATTTATTGTTTAGCTATCCGTCTCTTAGGATTTTAGTGCTTTTAAAACATTATTTGTTAATTAAATAGTGTTTTAGTTGCACCATTTGCTGTTGCTTCAAAAATGCTTTTATGTTTGTTATTTGTTCCTAAAACTTTTTGTTATAGTAAATGACTATGCTGTTCTAATTCTTTAAAAAAGTTTGCTGTTTATAGTAATTTTAAAAGAAATTATATTTTGCTGAGGAAAAAAATCCAAATTAACCAAGAATTGAATAGTTTAAAATTGTGATGAAGACCTCTTTGAATTGCCAATGAAGTCTGCTTGGCGAGATATGAGCAGGCAAAACGGTAAAGTACCAATTTCATCATATATGTAAATCTTATTTTTAATCCACTTCGTAGGATCATAATTTTCTGTTACTTGTTTTTCTGCATGGATGAGCCAATAATATAATTAACAATTTCCTACTAAGATATGCATAGAATGCAATTTTATTTATAAATATGTTTATTTATTGACACATAAAATTTATAAATAGATTTTAAGTATGAAAGTCACTACATAATATTAAGTTTCATTTTATAAATATCACTAGTTTTGTTTTTAAAATTGAAGGAAAACAGTAGAGCTTCATTTTAATAGCATTAATCAAAAATATTTACTTGATTTGTATCAAAATAAACTATTTTTGTATCTGTGAATTAAAAGCTATATGGATTAATATAAAAACCATATTACATAAAAATAATATAAAAACATATATATCTATATTTGTATAATTTTTCTCCTTTAAATATATGCATGGAATTCAAGTATTTTTTTAAATATTTAAGATGAAATAACCTACAGTAGAATTATTATTGTTGATGATTAATAAATGTCAACAGTAATATTACAATGTATATTATTCCTCTTGAGTGATATTCTCATGCAGCATAACCTTTATAGTTCAGACATTTTTATAAGCAGCTGTAATTTTCTTAAATTTTGTGTTTGGCGCAGAATGGGAAATTAAAACCTTTTTAAGAAAAAAAAAAAATTTTTTTTTTTTGCTTGCTTGCTAACTCTGAAACTATGTGCTCTACCTGTTTTCATGAAATTAATATTTTTAAATATATATGCGTAGATGTGTACAATAATATATATGTATGTGCCTTGACAGAAATTTAGCATATTTTTATACATTTTTTTTTTTTTTTTGTGTTATGCACGGCAAATGCATTTTTTAAAATTTATTTCTATTTTAACAATTTATTTGTTGTATATATTAAAAAAATCAAATGTAGAGTTTTCGATGACATAAGACTACGCTACTGTGCCCAGCATTTAATTCTTATAACAGAAAACCTAAAATGAATAAGCATGTATGATACTTGAAATGAAGAATTAATACTGTATCTAGAGTTAAAAATAATTAATGCAATTTTTGTAGGAAGTAAGTATTTTTTAACTGTACATAATTTAAAAAAATATATATTGTTTTATGGATTAGCAAAAATAATTAGAAAAGGTATTTTTCAGTATGTTGATATTGCTGTAGAAGAAATAAAGCAGTATAATTTTGATAAAGTAGACTAAAATTTTATTCTAACTGTGCTACTAATTTTTTTTTTTTTTTTTTTTTTTTTTTTTTTTTGGTGGGGGAGGGAGAAATCATAAAGATTATTTCTTACGTTATATATTCTGCTTTTGATTTTTATGTAAATTTCTGTTTTTTAACAAATTATTAAATGTTTATTTTAAAGTATCTAAAATTTACAAATTTTTTAAATATACTTTCCAATTAAATGCAATGTAAATAAGCTACAATTATTACTGCAATTATATGAATATTATTTCTGCCATGAAGGTGTTGCCATTCATAAAAAATATGTGATGTCAAGAAATATGAAGCTCCTTACAGACTAAAAAATGCCTATTTCTCTTTGCCATTTCAAGAAAACTAAAATTTTAAGATTTCATTTCTGAAATTAAGTACACTTTATTGTTAGAAATATTTTTCTGAGAACTATATGAATAAAAGTATTTTTATACAGGCAGTTTATTAAAAGTGAAGATATTTTTTTAAATATTTTTATTTTGTTGCAATGCTGTAATGTTTCAACTGTAACATTGTAATGCTTCAGCTGTTAAATCGACTGCTGTGCCTTTTCAAAATTGTAATTCATTTTTGCCATTGTGCCAAACTGGAATATTTGCATTTTGTACATATTGTATTTATTTTATTATTTTAAACCTTTAATACACAAGTTGTTTACTATTTGGAAAATAAAGTATTTTTTGTTTTTATATGACTGGCTGTCTTTTGCTAGTTTCAAAATAAAATATGTGATAAAATTCTTAAGAAATTTAATATGTAAAATTGGAGGTTTTCTTTGTTTAAATTTTCAGAGCTAAAAAATGTTAAATCAAAATAAATACCACATTAACAATAAAGTGAAACTTTGGATCACGAACTTTATTTGTTCCTAAGATAGTGTGTACTTGAAATGTTTGTAAACAAACAATTTTCCCCATAGGGTTAATCTGTGCTGGACCATAGATGATTGCTTAGAAAGGAGTGTTTTGTATTTATGTTTTATAAAACCAGTGGAATTTATTAAAATCTAACACATATACAGTATAAATGTATACAATATAGGAAAATCTGGATTAAATTTTACCATATCTGTGTGAAGGAAAAACAGATTTAACGTATTTCATCCCTTGAGTGGGTCGATAAAATGAGTACCAAGTTCGCTTGGGGACTAAACACCTGGGGTGCTGCAACAATAATGACAATAATGACCACTTGTCCAGAGCATACCTGCAACAATAATGACCACTTGTCCAGAGCATATGCTGATACACCCTGAGGCCCAAGGATTTCAGGACACTGCAGGCCATGGCCCACTAGGGCTATTTTGCCACTGAGTTTAGTTTAGTAGTATGAAGGAAAATTGATGATGTAGCTAGAAAACTCATGAAGCGAAAGGTACAAAGCTTATTGTTTCAAAGAGGAATTCTTTTCCATAAAAATATCGGGTAGCTGTTGTCTGTCTGGGATTTTTTTTTCCTTTCTCTTAACACACTAACTTTAACTTTCTCTTAACACAACTATTTGAAAATTTCTTTGTATATTTAATTGGCCTTTGTTTCGTTAAAAATTGCTCAATGTGATTCGCTTCTGTGTTTTAAAATGTTCCTAAAAAAAGGCATGTCATTGTAAATATTTTTGCTGTAGCTTATTACTGTTTTATCAAGGTAAAAAATTATTTATTCAAGTTATTAAATTTCATATCATTTATATTATGTAAAAATTTGGATCTCACCTCATTTTTCACAAATTTCATGGTTCAAATAACTGGCAACATCCTTCCTTCCTACTTCTTATAACATTTTCTCCAGAATCTTCTTTTGTTGCTGCTTCTGGAGTTATTCCAATTCTTCCACAGTTCGTTCATTTTTATGGTCTTCTAGTGGTTCCTCCATGTTTTCATTGTTAACTTCCTAGGACATGTTTTTTCCTAAAGACATACCATCTGCATTGAAGCACTTCAAGTCTCTGCCTGAAGCACAATTTCCACCAGTCATTTGTTTCTAGGCTTTGTCTACAAGACATAAACAATGGATAATGTTATTTTATGCCTTGCTTTCTCACAAATGATGCCTTCATGAACACTGCCAAATAACTGTGTCAGAAATAATCTCAAAATACCTCTTAAAAAGTGCTTTTAATGTAGAGATCATTAAAATTTGAAATAACATATTAATCTACAAGCTGTATTACAGGAGTCGTGCTAGAAACAGTAACTTTACTATGATGAAATCTAACTTACACCCTGGAATTACTTCAGTGGTACTCAAGTAATGTACAAGTTTCAATGATTTGTCTATCCTTTACTTGCATTTTCACATAACAATAGAATTAACCTATCCTTCATGGATTTGCATCTAGGTAATGATTTCTCCTTGCCATTTTTTCCAGAACAAAATGGTTTCATCACAGTTGAAGATTTGCTGAAGAAGAGATTCCTCAGTTTTTACATAGTCACTAAAATTCTCCCAACAGGTTTTTGGTTCATGCTCATAACTTTTCTGTGTTTATGTATGCCATTTCTTTCTTAAATTTTTCAAGCCACCCTCTGCTAGATTTGAAAACATGAGTATCAGCATTCCTATCAGAGTATTTTTTAACCAAGTCATCATGTAACTGCCATGCTTTCTCACAAATATTGTTATTATGTAACATTGTCCGTTTGTTCAAATAATGAGCAATTTTTTCACTTTGTCAATCATCTGTGATCTTTATTTAGTTTTAGTCATCCGTCATTCATTTTGTAAAATCGGCATATTTGACTACTTCTTGCCCTACCAAACTGAGTAATAAGATTCGACCATTTTTATATTTATCAATGATTTCTTCAGCTTTATTGGGATTTTAGTCATTTTTCATTTTGTTGCTATCATTATCCTTCTTTAGCTGCATGGTGTCCTTTTGAATAATTTTCATTACAAAATACAAATTTTAATAAAATTTAAGTGAAAACAAGAGCAAAAATGCCACACAGTAACAGGCAATCACTCACTTGGTTTATGCACAGTTTTGTTGTGATGTTATTTTACACAAAGGTCACACATTTTGTAATCTTTTTCTGCATTTTGGAGTATCATTTGTTGCTAGTTTACTTGTTTGTATTTCGTTTGGAAAACTCATTCATGAATGTTTTTTTTTTTTTTTTTAATCTGAGGTTCCGTGCTATATAATCTTTATTCATCACATTTAAGAATAGGAGGAATAAAGTAGAAGAGTGGGCGATTATTATTAACCTTAGAGGTCGTTACGTTATCATCATCTTGGTTATGGAAAAAAATAGTGTAGGTACTAAAGTTGCAACGTGTTTAGTGTTACTGTAAGTATTAGTGATTAGTTTTACTCATATTTTGGGCGTGGAAATCATTCTACACAGCATTTAATGTTATAAATATAAAATGTGTGGAAGATTTCTCTTGGAAAAATTCCCAACTTCCAGAAATTTTTTTTTGAAATGTTAGCTTTTATTTTTGATAAAATTAATATAAATAATATTAATTTTAATATTATAAAATAGTGTTACTGAAAACAGTGTAAGTTGATCATTTAAGAAGTAATTTTATCTGGATTCTAAAAGAATATTTTGAGATCAATGGTATTTCATAAAACTAATGCGAAAAATCAATACATTTCTAATGCCATATTTGTTGAACTGTACCTCTTGTATCAACTTTCATCAGTAGATAATGGTTATAATGAAATTCTGTTGTTATTTATAGATCGCAAGCTTCTCTTTCTGTCTCTATGTATATATTTAAAAGGTAAGATGTATTTTTAACATTTGGTATTTGTCGTTTGTATCATTGCACATTCAGAGAAGAAAAACTGAAATTGAAGTTAATTTTAAAACTGGGTAACAGCAATTTTTACTTTCTCAAGAAGAGCAAAATATATGTATTGACTTTTCATATATATTTATTTGTAATCTCAAGTTTCTAGATTTATACCAAAAGAGTGTGTATATACACATGGTCACTCTAAGCTATCAGTAGTGTGTAATCCAACTGCACATGCACTGAACATAAGTTTAAAGAAAGCCATTCTGCTCAGGATCTTAAAAACATTTATCTATTGCCTTCCCTTCATTTCAGAAAATAGTATTACTTTGAAAGTAATTTCACGCGTGGATGTATAGTTTTGTTTACATAAAATACTTCAATGCCTTTTTATACAAAAGTAGTCTTTACTTCCTTAAAAAAAAAGTTTTCTTTCATTCTTTTTTTTTTTTTTTTTGTATATTTATATATATTATATATATCAAGTGTAATAGTTTTTGGAAAATATAAACAAAACTTAGGAAGACATGACCAGCCACTTTACTAAATTCTCTATTTCACACAACCCTTAGTTCCAGAGTGTGTCCATAATTTGAAAATTCTAGTGTACTTTTGATCAGTTATTGTCTCAATAAATGTAAACCTCAATTTTTGTATTATTTCTCTTGTTAAATATGAACTTGCATAACACAGCATAGAACCATGTTGATACATAAAACCAACCAACTTAGAAACATAAAAACCATGTTGTTTTTACCTGTGTATACTACTCTAAAAGCAAATCTTTGTTATAACTATTATATCTGGTGATAGTTAAGAGTTTGCTATAACTCTGCATTTTGTGACAGTTAACTGATACATAAGTGAAGCTCCACTATATGTGTCAGAAAGTGATGGAGATTTGTTATTGCATTCATTCAATAAATATTGTATGATCCACTTCAGGGCTGAGTGATTTGAAATGTGCTTTACACAGATACCCTTAAGAAGACATCACACAAAAAATGAGATATAGTCGATTAAATATAATTATGAATAAAAAATATGGAAAACATTTTGCTTTAGGAAAAAATTAGTGAAAAGGTTTTATTACTAGCATAGTTTAAACTCAATTAAATTTCCTATAACTAGTACACAAAATATCACAAATGAAAAGGAAAAATAAATCTTTATTAAGATATAATAAATGCAAAATTTCATTCAACAGTATTCACTTCATACAGTTGTACAGTAGTATGCTACACACATAGGTGGCTTTACTGTTAGAGTGAAATATACACTGTCATTTTAACTTTTTGAGTCATTGAGCAAGTTTTGCGGTTTTTCAAATCAAAACGTGTTACTCTAATCATTTTTTTACTGTGATAAGGAATGACCTTATTTGAAATGTAATTTTAAGTAAGTCTTTTCTACTCGTGTTACAGAACTGACATCATTTTTGCTTCAGAGCAGTGCTCAGAATGCAGAACCCAAAAGTTCCTTTTGCCATAATATAACTCTTTTCCTTTAAAATAAGAAAAAATGCTAGTCATATAACTCCTAATATTTGTGCTATGCATGGATAAAGCATGGTTTCTAATGATGCAGTTTGAAGGTGGTTTGAGAAGTTTAGGCATGGAAATTTCAGTTTTGAATATGATGCCAGTTTTGGACAACCATCAGACAGACTAAATATTTTTTAAAAATATTATATGTGATTCATTTGAAGAACACAGAGTATCTTAGCTACTAAAACATATGGTTGCTTCAGCACAGCAAAATATCCTTACTCCAGTTTCGGCTCATGATTCTTTGCTGAAAACAAATAAGTCTCCCCCTTTTTAAATGCCTGACTACTGGAGATGACAAGCGGAAGCTGTACAATAATATTACAAGAAAAAGATCATGTTAGTGGCAAAAAGACAATAAAAAAATGATCTAATGAAATTTTGTTTTTGTATGTATGATCAAAAACCACAGAACTTTTCAAGGACCTGATATAATTATATGCAATAATGAAGGTATGTGTTACAAATGTAAAGAAATCCTTTTTTTTTTAAGGGGGACATGGTGGTAGGTGAATGTTATTAATTGGTAGAATATTTTCTTAATATTCATTTATGAGCAAAAAATATATACAAACATTACTACACCAAATTTTAAACAATATTTGAACAAAATGAATGTTACTTTCTGATTAACCCCTCTCCCCCCAACAAAAAATTGTAAACTCGTACGACTTTGGGAAATAACGTTATTATCTCTATGTTCATTTTATTTTTTCTGCAGAAGAGACAAGTACACTTGGTTTCTCCCCTCTGTTGTGTTCTTCCTATGTATACCAATAAATTTTCACTTGAAAAAAAAAGGGGGTTTGAGGTAAATGCACAAACTTGCCTTTGCATACCAGCCACAATTACAGTTGAAACTTCCACGTATACTCCAACATAAAACTAAATGGTGGGGTGGGTGGGTGGGTTTTTTTTTTTTTTTTTTTTTTGTATGAGTGTTTCTTTTCTTAATACAAAACAAAACACTCATAAAAAATGCTAATCAATATCTGCTACACATAACCTGGATTACCACAAAAATACTTTTTGGCAATATGACTTGCCTCTATTTTTCACAGCTTTTCAGAAGGGGTGCGGATTATCAGAAAGTATCAATAAGTATTAGTGTGATCATGAAATCAAATAAGGAAACACAAATATTTAAATATCAGAGAAATAAGTTGTGCACTATATACACTTTAATACAAACACATAAATATTTACATAATTTTCACACATTTAACTTTAGCATAATACAAAAACAAAATGCATACATGCTGAAAGGAAATGATCATATTGAATAAGTATATAAAATAATATATACATAAATTATTGATCATGTTGAATAAGTATATAAACATTATTTTATATTTTGTTAAAAACAACATACAAAAATTTGGAATATATGCACACAATTAGATTGAATAAGTATATAAAATAATGAACAATGTTATATATATATATAGTCATTATTTTATATTATTGTATATTAAACAAAAATTAACATACAAAAATTGTAATATTTGCACAAAATTAGATTCCTTAACCAATAAATCTATCTTGCCTGACAATTTTTTCTCTGCAAAACGAAAAATCAAACTTTCTTAATATGGATTCATATATTAAAAGAAAAATCTTAATTTGGAGATTGAAAATTTCTTGGAGATTATTGCTTTTGTTTCTGTATAGTCTGAATGAACATAAGGCACCTGTGATAATTACGAAAAAGCATTCATATTTACAGTCATGATTCTTGCTCTTCACTATACAAGTTACACTTTTTATATTTCAGCTGTGTTCAGCTGTATCAGATGCCGAAACATATGCTGCTACTTCAGGTGTTCCTGGTCGACTATGGATGGGTGTATTGGGTTCTGATTTTACATTTACAGAAGAGTCACAATCACTTGAAGATGGTTGTAAAACTACAAGTTTTGCTAAAGAAGAATTAGTTGTTACTGCTTTTCCAGGCACTGTAGAAACAGATGGTGTTGTCACTATTTTCACAAGGGTTGGATTTGAATTATTTACCACATTTGATGTGGTTGGTGAAGTTTGACTGACAGCTGAAACAGGTGTACCCGGTCGTGCATTGTTGGCAACTATTACATATTTAGGACCAGTTGGAGATGGTACTCCAGCTGTTGTGGCTGATCTTGGTACTGCTACTATGGTGGGTGGTCTTGTAATTGTCGGAAGAATACGAGGCTGAAAAATATAAATCAGCAGTTATTAAACATAATTATCATAGTCAATAATGAAAATTATGCTCTTTACTTAGGTAAAGTAATAATGGCATTTACGATGAATAAATATCTTAATCATAAGCGATTTTAATTATTTTTTAGTTTATGGCATTTGCAAAAAATTTCATACAGAAAAATAAAACTAAGCTCCTAATAAAACTTATCTTCTATGATCTTTTACTACAATGTTAATAAAAAAAAATTTAAAAAAATTAATGGCAGTTCCTGTAGTAACATATTCATCAAAAAGCATACACCTTTCCCATATGATGAATTACTTTTAAAACTGAAAGAAAAATAAATGATTATCTTTGTCAAACTAGATTTAACAACTGGATATGAATGGGGTGAATATAATCAGCACATATTTATTATCAGATATTTGATGAATGAATTTTTCATGTAGATGGAATTTTCATAGTGATACTAGCAACAAGTTTTTATAAAAACTTAATCCTTCTTAAATAATGTATACTTTTGTAGAAATCATTAAGTGCCAGGCTCTATAAACATATTTACATAGCAATTATATTTTGAAAAACTTAAAATGGCACATAACTTATATTCCATACAAGTAAAGTAAATAAATATTTCCCTAGTCTTTCAACTAAAATAATGCAATTTTATAAATTGGCAAACGTTACAATTATATTATTTCTCCAGTATGTTTATACATGCAGCTTGGGGTGGGATTCTGATGAATTTAGACTTTTGATGTTGCTCAATTAATAGTTTATCTTCAAAGAATACTTATGTTTTCTCTACATAACCTTCTAGAGCTCATTCTCTTTATACACTTCAAATAATAGACAAGCAGATTTGCATTGTTTTCAGCCACATGATTTATTAAGAAATTTCTTAAAACCTTCACTTACATATGGATCAAAATGAGTAAGTGTTTAACTACATAAAACATGTGTAATAAGAGATGTAGAATTTTCTTCGCTGTTAGCAGAAATCGCTCAAAGTAAGATTAAGATGGAATTGAATAATATACACCTTGCACGCACATGCAAAAATGGGGGACAGTTCTGTACCTTCCGTTCTACTGGATTGATTGTCGAAATTTAACTTGCATTTTCCATGTCTCGAAGCGCGACTTAGGATATATATTAGATTTATATATAGCATTATTCTAACATAGGTAGTTTGATTTAAAAAAATCGGACCTTTACTGAAATAACATACCATTTGTTCCATATTTCAATTCCACGAATGAAATTATGCTTAGGCATTAAATTTTGTCATTTTTGGTGAAAAACCCATTGAGAAATTTAAAAATTTATCTTGGCGCATTTTTTCCTAGTTTGAGCTAAGAATAATTCAGTTGGCGAACTTCTTAATCATAGCACCCTATTTTCCTTTCCTTTATTTCACTGGACACGAGTGGAATAAAAATCATCATTCATACTTTCAAATAATTTTAACAAAGTGCTTAAACCAAATTTGGCATTATTATCATTTATATGGTGTGTGTGTATTGAGAATACGGCAAAGCACACTAGGGCTACCTGCCTAAGGAGAGGGATGCCTTCGTGGAGGACTTTCTAAGGGGAACTGGCTCGTATACACGTTACACATGGGAAAAAACCACGAAAACGCCCATGCAGCCAGCCTTATCACTTATATGAATATGCCCAACTTCAAAATGTCCCCAAATATAAATTCATGTATAGCTTAGGAAATTTTGAGTAAGAAACTTAATTTTTTGCAGGTATGCCTAAAAATACATCTACTTTAAGATGATGGTAAAAATTTTATAGGTTATTATTCAAATTTTTGTTTGAAAAATTTATAAAAATTATTTAAAATTAAATCATAAAAAAATGGGCAAATTTCATTTAGAATGACCCTAAATTTCAAAATGTGAAATGAAGAATCAAACAAGTTTAATAAAAGAAAAATTATATTAATAAATATATGCCAAATTCAATTAACATGAGTGCCAAAATTTTGAGAGCTAATTTTTTAAAAACTACTTGTTTGAGTTTTACAGAACTTGGCACTTTGGCATAATTCAAGTCGTAGAATTGAAATATGGAAAAAAATTGGTATGCTATTTCAGAAAAGTCAGTGTGTCAAAATACCTACATTAGAACAATGCTATATATAAACCTAATACAGATCCTAATTCGCGTTTTCGAGACATGAAAAACACAAATTGAATTTCATCAATCGGTCCAGTAGATCGGGAGATATAGAACTGTTGCTTTTCCCCCCCCCTTTTGTGTGTGCGTGCAAGGTGTACAGGTTGAATTAACCTGTATTATATCAGATGACATTTTACACAGCAAAAAGTTTTCTGGTCAGAGAATAGTATGGAAGATACTGTACAATTTCACTGGTTTGTAATTCAGCAAAGTATAGGCTGAAAGAATGAAATGTTTGCACTAGTGCTGCACACACTATGACCGACAAGTGTTGTTGTTACAGATGAATAAAGAGTATACACAATTTCTTTGCCACAGTTTCCATCTCCAGCTCAAGTATGATTTTAATATGAGTTTGAAGTGAGTAATGTCTGCTAAAACTAGCTTTCTTGACTGACACCTTTAAGCAGTTTAATTAATTCAGAAAATGCATATGTGCAAAAATTCTTGACGTTAAAAAAACTTGAACAAAGAAAATTAATATTTGAAAAAAAAAAAAAAAGACTTGAATTTTATTTTCTAGTCAATGCATAAAGGTGTTGCCTGCATTCAAATAAAAATTTTACAAAATATTTTTCTGAAAATGTTTACTTATTATATTTTTTTAAATTTTTTAAAATTTCTTTTCCAGTTCAATAGATTTTTTTTAAAAATTTTTTAATGAAGAAAACACTGAACAGATTGTGTAACTGTCCTGTGATGATATTCTCAAAGCTAATTTTAAGAAATGAACTTTAACATGAAATAAATATCTATAATATCTGAATTTTGTCTAAACTGTACTAATGTCCTCTTCTAGTTGGAAGAGAAAAATACCATTGTAAAATTTTAAATTAAGCAAAAAAGCAACCATAGATTGGCAACAATTTTTATAAAGCTCAAACTCTACATCAATCTAATCAACCAAATTTTAATTTTCTCTTATTGCTGACCATACTATCAAGCTGATGACACTTTTCAAAACAATGCATTTATATGACAGCTAAAGCAATACACACAAAATAAGCTAAATTTTGTGGCAGAGATCCACATGAAAGTTCTAACTAAGCAAACAAAAACTAAATATCAAAACACTGCTTAAAATTTTTCACTAAGTACAGACTTGGTGAAAAATTTTAAGCAGTTCTTAAAAAAAAAAAAAAAAAAAAAAAAAGCAAGGATGAAAGTAATCTATCACAATAGAAATACAATTCTTAAAATAGTTTTGACAGATTTGAAGCTAAGTTAATCAATTATCGCAAAGCAACTCAAGGGCTATCTTCCTTGGGGAGGACTTTCCGAAGAAAACATGAAAATGCTGATGTAGCCAGCTCGCTTAACAGATCGAACTACCAATATTTAGGAACTTAAGGCTAGGCCACTTGTGAGCTATGACACATATGGAATCTATTTACTTCAGACATTTCTTCAACAAATTTTAAAAAATTTCTCGAGTAATTTTCCAAGTAGATATATAACACCTGTCATTTGTGAAAGAAAAGGTACTGTGCTTGACTGACAGATGCAATCTAAGAGAAATCCGAGAACCATTAGTATAAATTTTATGTTATAAAATAAATAATAAAAATCCACCTGAGAGACTGTAAATGATGGCCGTGCTGGTGCAGTAGTAGTAGCTTGTTGCCTTGCTCTCATAACATGGCTGTGGAGAAAGGGTCCTAAATATCCAAATTCATTCCTATAATCCTCTAAATTATCTCCAATGAAATTACATGATTTTAACACAGGAGACAGAACTCTCTGCAAAACAATTGTTAATGAAAAATGTTTAGTATAAATATTTTCAGCAATTAGTTTTGCACTCTTATGAAAATTTACAAACAATTAATAATACTGTTATAAATTTTGTATATGGGAACATAGTTTTGATGAAAAAAAAAATTTTTTTTTTTGGTGTGTGTGTGTGTGTATTATGTAACATGAAAATCTACAGAAGCAATGCTTTTCTGGAAAAATACAAATGCAGAGGCTTCTCTATTTAATGTTGAGTAAATGGCTATCTCGTTAAATTGGCAAGATATCACCAAGTTGGTGATGGTTTTGGTGACTAATTTTCCCTGCCAAACTGGGTGCCAAAAGTTCCCAGACTTGGCAATATTTTAGTGGTTAGGTTCCTGTATCACCCTAATAGGTTTTGTAATTGAATAACTGCAATTGATTTCATATGCGATTGTACTCATATTTGGGCCTCAGATTTTTCCAGTAATTTTGAGTAGTAGAGATTTCTCGGTGGTGAGGTGAAAACTACGTAAGAACGGAGACAGCATCTGCTTGCTCTCAGATGTTAGTTCAGAGTTGAAGTTGGAATGCTGAGATATCTGAAAGAGCTTCGCCTTTTAGATGCGATTTGCATTGCCTTGTGGTTGTTTTTACTAGTCTGAAGTAGTGTATTCTGATTGCACTTTGTGATACTGTGAAGAGTTGTACACGTATTTTAGTGAAAAGCTCCAGAACTGTGAAGTCTTCCTTGTGGTAAAATAAATTTGATCAAGCTATCATCGGTTCGATGTGCATTCAATCTATTATAAACGCATATGCACGCAACAATACTAAAGTCATATAATGTTGTAAATAGCATAAACTCTAGAATGGGATCTGCATGAAGAAGCTTAACAGTACGATATGATATGCTGCCAATTAAGAAAATACAAGCATTTATTTAAACTTGCACATATGACTTATTAAACTTCTCTGAAATGTGCAACAATTAACGGTTACTTAGCAACCTTTAACACACTAAGTTATCTAATTCTGACAGATGAATTTTCATGAAACATTAATTTAATTAATAAGTAATGGATGAATTTAATTTAGGGCTTGTTACCTTCCAAGTAGAATTCAGCTTTTTTTATATAAATGACAATTTTAAATATATAGCCCCCAAATAATAACAATAAATAAAATAAAAATATAGAAATAATGCAACACTGCATGTTAAAAGCAATGTTTCAACACTGAACAAATCATTAGGTTCATCGAAGCAGAAGGTGTGAAAAATTGGTGAGGCAATTGCCTAGACTTGAAATCAGAACCTTCCACCTTCTAGTTGGACATGCTTCTAATTACACCATGAAGACAAGCAGTAACAAGGGAGAAAATGTCCAACAAATGAAATATATCATATGTCTGCTACTTTATGCCATTAATATAGTTCGTTACTATGATCACAGAACTTGCAGTTAATACAAAAGCATGAAAAAATAACAAGCATTTTTATGAACACAGAAAGTAATAACTACAGTATGGGCAGTTACAGTATATTTCTTACAAGTGAAATAAGCAATATTTATACTACTTCAGGGTTCATACACATTTCTGCACACGGAAATTAAGTACTTTTAAGGACCATTAATGAAAAAAATTAAGGACCTATGAGCAAATGGAAACTGAATAAATTCAATTAAAAATATTATCCATGCCTGAATTTCCCTTTTGTTATACCATCCTAAAAATGAGATAGATCCTTATGTAGTATGTATTATTACTAAACATGAATTAATTAACATAAATATTAATAAGTTTAAGAATAAAATAAACTTTATGAAATTTATCAAGTAGCATTAAATATTTTACACTTCATAATAATTGAACATATTTGAAAGATGATAAGTGACATTTTATTTAGGTTTTACTAACGGTTAGCTTTACGTTGATTTTTTTTTTTTTAATGTCTCATTTTGTCACATACTTGCTCAGTCTAGAGGTTTAGTAAATAGTAAGGTAGATTTCATGTCAAATGGCATAGCTTAAAATGGAGAAGTAAAGATCACAATCAGCATGATTCAAAACAAAAGACTGACTGTTGTTCACCGTTTGCTGTTTGCCTAGAGAGCAGACCTGCTGATTAGAACAAACCTGAAAGGCCTGACGTAGGCACGGTTGCCAAGTGTTGAAAGTTAGTCAGGCTCTGTTTGATGCAGTTAGTGTCGTAGCTTCGTGTAGAGTTCCAAAGATTGTAACTCAGTTGATATACTTTAAGGTTCCAATAAGCAATTATAGCACCAGAGGTGATAAACTGTTTTGTATTATTTTAAGTCTCACTAGAAGCAAAGAATAAGTTTTACTTGAATTTTTACATTTTTTTATTTAATCTTGTAACCACAGTGAGTATTAATGAAAGGCAATAACTCACTTTAAATATGTAGGGATAATTTTTAAGGGTAAGCAGTTAGTTATAAATAATTAAATTAGGTAGTTTGATAACCTTAGTCATTATGGATTTACATGGCCACGATCAATTTTATTTTTTAACATATTTGTTAAAAAAACACTATTAAAATCAAAATTTAATAACATTTCACAGTTTAAAATACATGTAATTCATGACATTAGGATAATTACACTTTAAAAGCTACAAAACATTTATGTCTTCTAACATTAACACTGAAAAAATATTTATCCGTCATTTTAATTTGAAGCCTTCCCAAACATTTTGGCTACTTTATACCGATTTCCTTCTCTTTAATCATCTTTTCTAACAATTAAAGATTTGTCTCACTATGCAAACCAATGCTCTCGCTAGTTTCTGGTTGCTTTTTGTCCTAACTTGTTAAACTCTCCACAATGTACCTATGAGGGTTTACTTGATCTGGTAAAAGTTAAATAGTCCGAAACCTCCGACAGATGTGAAGCATATTTTCGCAATGTCTGAAAGTATTTACAATATCAGATAAAAGTTTAAATAAGCTTCTTATTTAAAAAGAACTTAGAACATAAAGGCATTTTCTGATGCTAACAAAATCAATTACAGCTCACGGTGACGTAATTAAACAACAACAATCTAATTCAAACTAAAAATGTGGACTAGTAGTCAAAGATTATACAATTTAATTTGGCTCTGTAACTCTATCATATGAGGAAATAAAAGTGGGAAATTATAGTAAAGGCTCAAATCATAAACTATTGGGTAATTTACATAATAATAACTGCACAAATTCTTTGAAGAATAATTTTCTTTATGTATTCAGTTTCTTTCTTCAACACGTTTCCTTTTTCATTTTAGAATTTTTGGATTTAATTAAGGATTTCTGTTATTTTCTAAAAAACACTAAATGCGTTTAGAATTGTATACAGAAGGTGGCAAAGTGACTAATTATATTTCTTTAGTAATATGAACATTCAGAAGAAATATAAAATATATATTGTAAGGGCCAGTCACAGAACTGGATGTGGCAGAATTTTTACTATTTACTGACACATACCGAGCAACAAAATCTAGAAATGGACAAAACTTTTAGAATTTAGAGCAGGACATTTGAAGCAGAACTTAGAATTGGGCACTAGGCAGCAGAATTTAGGATCAAAGAGATTGCATCAGGATGGGAAAATGCCTAGCGCCAGCTCTCTGTATGATGGCATTAAGACATATTAGATTGGATCTTTTAAATTGTACCAGTTTTCAATTTCTTTATTAATAAATAATTTCCTTATCTATAATTGCCTTGTTCATGTGATAAGAATAGAAGCATTTTTAATATTTTTAATGCTTGTGTCTAGTGAAACGTAGAGAAAATAAAGGGAAGATAAACATGTTAAGATTCTAGTATCAGAAGTAAAACATTAAAATATTATGTTTTCCATTGCCCTTCCAGACATTCTCCAAAAAGTAAAAAATTCATTGCAAACTTTCTGTAAAATACATGGATTATGTGTTTGATACCATGGAGACATTTTTCATTTTGTCACATATTTCTCGAATCTTCTAGAATCATGAGTCTATAAATCTTGCCTTCAAATCCTTCTAAACTTTCTAAGCTGCAATGCCTAAAATCCTAATGAAAAATTATCCCTACCGATTCTGCAAGAGCAAAAAGCCAGAAATATTTTGGAAATTTATCAATGTTACGATGTTTTAAAAAAAAATCGTCGAAAAATTCTGAGATCTCAGAATTAAAAATTTTCTCTATAAACTAATCTTAAAATCGCCAAATTTAGAACCGCTTAATAAAAGAATTCACATCCCCAAAGCAAGAAGTTGTTTAAGAGCTCTTTATTAGAAAAAATGAATTTTAAAATGCTTATGTTTCACTTCTTGCTTAGAAATTCGAGTATCCCATCATTTCTATTAGAAATAGAAACAAATTATAAACCATGAACCCATTCAAAAGATAACCATATACGTATGTCAGTGAATTGCCAAAAATATTCCTCCAAAATGCTAATTCACACTCAAAATGGCAGTCGTAAAAACAGACAGAAATTTCAGATGATTAAAATTAAGGATCTTCTACCGATTTTGGCCAAAATTAAGGACTTTTAAGGACCAAAAATCGATTCCAAAAAATCTAAGGACTCTTAAGGACCGTACAAACCCTGTACTTTCATGAATATAATCTTAAAAATTTAATTTTTAATAGCAAATTACCATAATTAATACTTTATTGACTGCACCATAGCACTAATTATTTAGAATTAAATTGGAAAGTTCAGTCATTTGACCACATTACGCATTATTCATAACAAAATGTAACATTCATAACAAAACGTATTCATAACAAAACGTAACATAAGTTTATAACTATATTAGAGCTATCAATAAATGCTAAAAGAAATACATATTATACTTTTATAATGCTATAATAAAAATAAGCACATGAACATCATTTAAGAAATTATCAGTATTGAATGAACCAATTTAAACCAGAAACCTTTCTGACAGTAGTCCTATGTGTATACTCTGCGAACATCACAGCACTTATTACAAGTTTTTAAGACTAGAGAGAGAGAGAGAAAAAAAAATACTTTTTCTTCTTTGTTGCATAGATTAATCTCGTTATGTTACCCTAAATAATTCATAATCATTCTTAATAATACATAATTTTTATATGTATGTTAAAATAGCAGATGGTAAATTAAATACATACCAATATAAGTTGCTTAATATGTTCTGCTGCACTTTTATCTACACTACTTGCCATTGGACCCTCTAAACATTGCCTTATACGTTCTCCTATTCCTTTCACTCGAGGTATGACAAAAGTTCGAACAACTTCTGGTCCTAATTCCGAAAGCCCGGATATGGCTCCATAATGTGATGCTAAAGGCATCTTTTCATTTGCAAGAGCACGACTAAACATCCTTGTGACACGGGTTTGTACATTGCTGGTTGTAGTGTTAAAATTCCTGAAATGGAATTACTAATGTAAATAAACAGGATTGAGTGAAATATGAATCAAAGTGAAACTGTACATTAATTACTCAAATAAAAGCAGTTAGGTAAGAAATATATCAACTTAATGTTTTTCATACTTCACTTTATACAGTGGAACCTTGGAATGAATGCCTTGGATATCTAACTAATTGTTTTCATGAACAAATTTTACATATATAAAATATCTTGGATTACGAATGATGTCTCGAGACATGAAGTAACAGATGACATTACAAAATGCATGTAATGCAGTGTATGTATTCAGAAGATGAAGGCAGAAGGGAAGATAATCCTTGTTATTTGATCTGTAAAACTTGTGCAAAATGGGGTCAGGTACAATGGTTCATAGAATATTATCCTTCTAATAAACAATAATAGGCTGTAGCATAAATATTTACAATGAAAATGCTATGTCCTGCTTTAGGAACATTTTAAAAAATAGACAGAAACAAATCACAATGGATATATTTTTAACGAGACAAAGGCTCAGTGATTCTCAACTATAGGTGAGCGGTGCTAAAAGAAAGTGAAAACAAAAAAGGGGAAAAACCTTAGAAGAGCAGCTACATGATATTTTTATGGAATAGGATTTCCATCTCAAACAATAATATTTTGCACCTTGGGCTTCTTCACTGTTTTCTACTTACGCTGTCAACTTTCCTTCGTAGAAATACAGTAAAATTTAATTCAAGCTTTCCTATTTTTTATATTTTTAGTCAGTACTGTGTATATGTTAATATTATTTATGTGTTAATTTAAATTTAATGAATTCCACTGATTATGCATTACAAACCTGCATACAAAGTATTATTTTTAAGCAATCATTTGGAATCCGGGAATAGATTAATTTTACAATAATTTCCATGGAAAAAATTGGTTTACAAATATTTTGGATATTGAAGTTTTAGGAATGAATTATATTTACAAACCAAAGTTTCACTGTATAAATTGGTGATGCTTATTAAGTTATCATACTATAAAAATTATAAGAAAAAATATTAAAATTGATATCAATTGATAATGTATCATAACACTATCAAAAATAAATAAGGTCATATCTGAGAAAATACAAAATATAAATAAGGAACAAGTACAAAAAGGTCCCTTCCCACAGAAAAATTTCTGCACTTCATGTTCTAGTCTATAACTGAAATTAAGGAAATATTCCGCAGGTTTGGCAAAATGCAAGCATGGATATCATGCATTGTAAAAACTTAAAAATTGAGAAAGTATTTTTACAGGTAGGAATTAGTGCAGAAAATCAAAATTTCTTCAGATTCCTGTGGTTTAGGGATAATCAAATAGATTGCCAAGAAAATAGGTTAAAGTTACTTAGATTTGCAAAAGTTCCATTTGGGGTTTCATATGGCCCTTTGTGCAACAATTAGATTGCATTTAAAGAAAATAGAAACATAGAAAGTTACATAGAAAGTAAAAGTGAAGCTTGCCAAATACTGCATAATCTTTATATTGATGATTTAATTTATGGAGCAGAAACTGTGGAGAAGGCGTTAACTTGTATTTGAATGCACGGGAGAAATAATGGTAGAAGCCAGTATAAAGTTATGCGAATTTACCACAAATTCTAAACAGTTGAAAAAATATGGGCAGAGAAAAATATAGACTGTCAGCCAGCTTGTAACTTCAATGGTACACCATTGATGGTTCTCGGACTAACTCAGAAGACATAGTTAATATTGATTTATTCAGTGTTTTGAGGGAGATTTCACACTTTGATAAATTCAGGCTACTAAATGTAATGTGTTAAATAACTGTGGCAACATTTTCGATTCTCTCACAATGACTGTACCTTTCACGATCAGAATGAAATGAGTAGTGTATAGAAATCAACCACTTACAAGGATTTGCAGTCGCAATGGAACGAGTAGTGTAAGGAAATAACCATGTACAAGGATCTGCAGTCGCAATTGAAAGAGCAGTGTATGGAAATCAACTACGAGGGCTATCCAGAAAGTAGATTACGTTTTGGAATAAAAAAATAAACAAAGTATAGGAAACAAATTTTATTATATACAGATGAAAGCCACACTCAAATACTACTTTTCTACATAGTCACCAAACAAATTAGGCATTTATCGTAGCGATGTACGAGCTTGGAAATTCCTTCGTCGAAAATTCGGCCGCCTGCGCCTTCAACCACTTCGTTACCCTCTTCTTGCCTTCCATCTTGCACAAACTTGTGGTAACCAAGCTTTTCGCTGATGATTTCGTGCAACAAACTTCGCGAAATTTGTGGAAAACCAAAGAAAGTTCCGTTATTGTGAAATTTCGATTTTCACGGACTTTAGCATCGACTTTTCGAGAAGTTCGGCGGTCACTATGCTGGGTCTCCCACTTCGATCTTCGTCGTGACATTGGTTCGGCCATTTTGAAATCTTATGACCCACGCTGACGCACTCCACCTTCAGTCATAATGTTGTCCCCATACACTTCACGAAGCTGCCGATAGATTTCTATCGGTTTACAGTTTTTTGCAGTCAGAAACCTTATTACTGAGCGCACCTCGCAGCTCGCGGGATTTTCAATTAACGCAGACATTTCAAAACCGTCACAGTATCTGAACGGAGCACAGCACGAACCTCTCACTAGCACGGCTAGATGCAGACTGAGCTGCGCAACGCTCTGACCCCAAGATGGCCGCGCTAGCCCCGCCCCTAGCGGACACAGACGGAAACGTAATCTACTTCCTGGATGGCCCTCGTACATACAAGGATTTGCAGTTGCAATGGAACGAGCAGTGCATAGAAATCAACCACTTACAAGATTGGCCATGAAGAGGACTTACGGCTAAGATTTTAGATCTAAGCAAGTGCACCTATTTACCAATGCTAGTTTTAAAGTATATGGAGCAGCAGTGCACTTTAAAACTGGGTTAAGAACAGGCTGGAATTCAAGTTTCATTCTAGGTAAGTCTCGATTAGTGCCAATTCATTGAATTACACTGCCAAAACTTGAGTTTCTGGGAGCTTTTAAGAGTGGCAAGAGTAGGGAATTATATAATGTCCATTTTTGCATTTCTTAAATCTAGTGATATAGCTCTTTGGATTGATTCACAAATATGCTTGTACTGGATCAGGGGTCTCCAATCGTGTTGTAGAAATCCAACAAAAGTTGGTAATTGTAATTTTTGTCCAGGGAATGAAAATCCAGCCAATATGATTACACATGAGTGTAAAGCACATTCTACTGTGGTGGATAAACTAATCTAATTTCTAAAAAAAAAAAAAAAATCTCAAAATTCAACATTGGAACTATGATGATGCTGAAAATGAAAGGCATTTGAATATTACACAGATGTCAAGTTAAATCAGAATGCAAACAGCAGTCAGCACAGAGCTAATTAACCAGAACTGAAATTAATAGATCAAAATAAATTATAATCAAGTTTTATAAAACCAAAACTGAAATTCACATTTTTTTTTTTTTTTAAATCAGAGATGAAAAGTATGAATAAAATATCAATTCGATGATCTCAACTGATATTTTTTCATATTTTCTGTTTCCTGATTTAGAGCACTTTTGATTTATACATTTATTGCTAAGCTTCAAGCAAATGAAATCTCATAAAAAAATCAACTCACTTTGCTATTTGTGCAATTAATCGTGATGCAAAATCCCTTAGTGCCCAATGATTATCAACATCAGGCCTAGTACATAACTGCTTGCTAACGATGCATGAACACACTGAGGGAATTAATTCATGTAGCTAAAAAAAGAAAAATAATATTTTAATGTAACATTAAAACAAATCCTTTGAATTCAGCTAGACAACAAAACATCTACTTTGAAAGCAACACACCCAGTTTACAGAAATGATTTAATCAATAAATTTCTTGTTAAAGCTATTAATGCTATGAAAATAGTACAAAGTTAAAATAATTCATATCTTAACCCTCAGAAAAAATTGGAAAAAATTTTAGTTTTTTTTATACTAAAAGTTCTAAATTATCTACAAATATTCATTGTCTTTTGGGGGTTTATTCATTTTATATGACTCCCTGCTACCCCTCGAATTTCTCAATTATTATTTTGAACTATTTTAACTTTTTCTTTACTGGGCAAAAACTAAACCACTTTCAGTTGTTTTAAGCACAGTGAAAAGTCTGAGATCTGGAATCACTGGGACTTTGACGATTCTGGATTTTAGATTATCAGTTTAAATCTAGTAAGATGATATGTAGAAACTTTACAATTAAAAAGATAAAATAATGAAGTATTTATGATCATTCCTTTCAACACAAGTTGCTTAAGTTTTTTTTTTTTTTTTTTTTTTTTTTTTTTTTTTTTATTCCTAATATTTTTGACAGTTAACATATCCCAATAGGTTAAATAATGTTTTGCCCAGAAGTATACACCAGAATGCTTGGTTTGGTTTAATTTGATTCCTATAATTATGGCAAAGCACACAAGGGCTATCTACCTAAGAGAAAGGATGCCTTTGTGGAGGACTTTCTAAGGAAACTGGCTTATCTGAAAAAGTCAGCACAGTACCTTCCTGGGAGACACAAATGACCATTTCTCCCATTCTGAATCCTTTCTTTCAATATTTTTGGAAAACTTTTCCATACTTGTCCAATAAAGTCCCTTACCCAAATGTTGGACCTACTCAGTAGATGATTGTCTCCAAACTTTTCGAGGCATGATAAAGTCATAACACCTGATATTCCTGGATACATCATCAAGAAATCCTGCAGACATGACATAACCGATTCTTTTTTTTAAATCTATATGAACAATAAACATTTGCTGCCTAGAAAATATTAATACATTTTTCATCTATCCCTAGTATAGACACACATCTACTAGCATAGTCACACTCATACGCAACAACTGTATTGTGTAGACACTCTCAGCAAAATGACAAAAGAAAAATGAGATAGGAGATGCAAGTTTGGCAAGACTAGTCAGATATGCTTGGCTAGGTGGAACACTACTACTCCATGTGTGATGTATGGGAGACATCAATTAACAAGATGTATAGAGGTTGCTAGCTGTCAATCTGAGAGGGACCAGAAGGAGACATGGTTGATGCAAGTGAAATTACATTGTACTAATTAATTTACATATTTCAATTATTAGTAGTGTTAGTGATCTAGTGTGTAGTTTTGTGTACATAATAAACATTTTAAAATATGAAGAAGCGTGGATAATTTCTTTGAGGCAGCAAGAAGACAGAGTGACATTACACCATGTAATAGTAATTAGACCCCACACTACAGGCTTGTTTCATTTCGCTCAAAATAAACACACTTTTGTTCACATTTCATTGTAGTACCTTCATTAATACTGTATTTACTTGCATATTCCCCTTAGCCTTTTATAACATAAGGTTCTGAACATTTTTCAAGTATTTATATAATTTTCCTCTTTTCTCAAGGCATTCATAAAATGAGCTCCCCTAAGTTTTAAAACAGATTTTACCAACACTTTTAAGGGTTCTGAAGATCACTGCAAGTGGGAAGACAGACAAGATACAGGGAAGTAAAGATATCTTATTAGATTGTGGCGATTTCATAGTGCGTGAGGCCTCGGTATGTGGTTGCTTTCTCTTGTCGCCATCTATCAGCACCAGCAGAAGTGCTGCATCGCACGAGCAGGACCCGATCCTGGGTCTGTTTACTACGAGTCAAATTCTTTATCATTCCTAGTGTATGGGAGCCTAAAAGAGCTCTCAAGAGCTAGGTTCAAGAATTCCAACTCTTTAAAATTTGCGAGCATTGAGTTGTTCTCAAGATCGCTATACACTCCCCTCCCAAGCATCTATGATACGATATGAGGAGATTTTCAGTTTGTGGGCGTGACTGGAAGCCCAGCACTTTGATGTGATTAACTGTTGTATTTGATTGGCGATGACTGAGGTGAATGGGCATGTGCAGATGGATCTATTGATGGCTGTTTGAGATGGTTGAAAAACCCCGTTTATTGGCATGTGTGTTGCCATTAGGTTGTGGGGTGGAGTATGTGACATAGTTTGTCATTTGTGCTTAGTAGAGGGAAGAGTCTGTAGTTTTACGGGTCACCAATGTGGTGATCTCGTGGAGTGTGTTGCCTTGGTATGTGGTTGCTTGCTCGTGTCACCATTTATTAGCAACAGTGAGGTGTGCTACATTGCACGAGCAAGACTCAATCCTTGGTCTGTTTACCACGAGTCGAATTCTTTACCATTAGCCCAAAAGAGCTCTTGTGCACTAGGTTCAAGAATTTCAAGTCTTTCAAATTTGCAAGCGTCTTGAGTTGTTTTTAAGATTGCTACAAGGTATTGTAATGTTAATATAACTACACATTCTTATTGGAATACTTGTTTCTTTCAAATGAATAAATGTGTGATAGCTACCAGTAATCTACCCATGATTTTTTTTTTTTTTAACTTGCTATATCCTTACTGTAAACACATTCTTCAAAATTAAATTATTTGCATAACTTTTCGCTTTCCATGTTTGTATGATAAAAATAGAAAAAAAAAAGGGGGGGAAGGATATGCTTGATAACACCTTTAATACCATTTTTACACTCTGTAGTTATGAAAATGTAATAAAATTTCAAAGGATTTCAGGCTACTTATATATGATATGGAACATATTATTAAACCAACGGCATACCTTTGCTTTCAACACACATGCATTTATACATATGCATTTTCAAAATATCAAATCTATTACAAATAATTTACGAATATTTATTATTATTGCAATAGATCATATGTGAAAAATAGGGATAAAGAAACTTTTCAATCATTTTTCAGAAGCATAAAACTGGATAGGTTTAAAAGGTTTGCACCACATAAGAGATACTTGTGTATACTCATATTTGCTTCACGCTTCCTTGCAACATACAAAGTTTTGCAGAAAGCTAGATATCCCAGATTTCTATTAAATTCTATCTTTTAAATTAAAGACTACAGACTATCTTTTAAATAAAAGACAAATATTACACTTACATATTTTTCAAGGAAAAGAGTCTGGTTGTCTAGCAAGGCTTTTACCATTCGCATGAGATATATCAAAAGGGCTAAGTTATTCTGTACAACATTAACTTTTACCTAGAAAGATAACAAAAATATATATTATATAATAGTAATTTTTAATAAATTAATAATTTTTTGAACAATACTTTTGAGTTTGCACACTACTTACACCTTCTGAAATGAATTGACTTAGACGAGGAAGCATCTGATATAATCCTGGATCTGATGCCAGACTCTGCAAAGCTTCCTAGATAATAATGGATTTCATTAGAAATGATTCATTTATTTATTTATTTTTTACAGCAGAAAGTATGTTAAAATAAAAATTCTGATAACAAAAATGAATTAGAAAATATGTAAAACCAAGTTTATGAGCCATCGTGTGATTACATAAAACAATCTTTTCGAATTTCACTGCTCTCATTGAAAAGTTGATTTTTTGCAAAGATATACAAATACTGATAAATTTCTGAAAAATTATCAATACAACTTTATTAAATTTAAAAGCTATTTCATAAACAAATTATGGCAAAACATATGGATGCCTGTATATGTATATTCTGTATGTGTACATATGGATTCTGTATGTTACATATACAGTAAGTCATAAAAACTATACAGCCAGACCTTTAAAAGGAAAAAAACTTGCGATGAACAACTAGCAGTCAGCCGTCTTTTCACTAGACTAATGACGAGTTCTAAATTAAAAATTATATATTTTTAACCTTAACTGATTTTTATCAAAATATTATCTTTTAAAAAATATTTCTTAGTGTCAAACATAAAAATTGCCATGCCATGAAGTCTAACTAAATGGCAGCAATCCTAATTATATGTAGAGTTTCAAGAAGAAAAGAGGAAAAATTGTAATAACTAATTTACCATTAAAACTGCTAAATTAAAGCCATTGAATTAAAATTAAAGTTAAATTATTAAGAACTGCTGCTAAATTGTCAACACATGCAGTTCGAAGTCTGAATTTCACGCTTTCTGTAAATTTTTATAAAAATCCAGCAATTAAAAATCAGTGTGCTGGCACTGCTCAAAACACAAATTTTTTATTTTCAGTGCAACAATACACCACCATTCAGCTAAGTGAGAGACAGGCAGTTAATTTTCTTAATTTAAATCAACAAATTCAGCTATTTAAAAGCAACATGTTAACAGCATTTAAAAGCAACAAGCCTGAAACAGAATACTTTTATCTTCCACATGCTAATCCATTTGGCAAAGCTAAGATTAAGACACAATAACATGCCGAATAAATACTAATTCAGAAGTCAAACAACAAAAATCAGCATTATATTTTCAAAAATTTCACAGGACTGGTTTCGGTGGTTTTACCATTTTGCAGCTGAGGATGGTGGTTCGGTTAAACCACCGAAACTAGTCCTGTGAAAATTTTGAAAATATAATGCTGATTTTTGTTGTTTGACTTCTGAATAAAGCATAAGATGTTTAATTTTCAAATTTAATCTGTTTGTGATTGATTAACAAACTAAGTAATTTAGATCAAAAAATGAATTTCTTAATATTTTTTAAAACTTCTTTATTTGATTGATTTAAATAAAAGTGCATTTTGTTCATGGCATATATAATTAAAAACATTAAAAGTTTTTATGAAATTACATTAGTGCAACTTGTTTCTTATCATTACTATTATTCTAGTTTCTGAATAATATATATAAAATGCTGAATTTGTGCAATTCTCTGATGTTTTTTAAGCAAAAACATATCCTTATGTATCTGCTGTCTTCTTCGCAGAATAGGATGATGAGAAACACCTCACTCCGCAAGAAGAGCTAAGCAAACAATTCTGTGAAGAAGTAAAAATTCATATCACACTGTGAGGAAGAGATAAACTGATAATTTTTTTTTTTTTTTTTAATCTCAACTTGCAGAGAAGGAACATTTAAAAACTGGCAAGAGGCAATAAGCATTTCCACTGTTTTATAGTTATTGCATGATTATCAAAATCATTAAAAATGCTGCAAAACAGAAGGGAAAGGGAAAAATTATTCCAATAACAAACTTTCCAATCAAATGATCCCTACTAAAGTCGAAAAATATATTTCTTGTTAAGGATTGAAAAAATTATGACTAAATGAATAAACAAATATGAAAAAAGGGACCAATAAAGAATATTTATGCTTATAAAAAAGTTAATAATTGAATAGTCATATTTGTTTAACTGTGGACTGAAATTGTGTCTTGCATCATGGCATTAACAATATGTGTTAAGTTTAGCAAATATTTAGAAATATGTACTGGTAAAGTAAGCATTGATTATATCAAGATTCTACTAGCATTTATTTCAAATAAGCTTTATATCAAATTAATCCCAAGATGGTCAGAAGTGAAAAAATTCACACAAGCTGGAAATCTGCTCAATAATAACAAACTTTATTAACTTAGCAATGGACCACCAGATGGCTATCAATATTGTATTGTATACAACTTAAAAAATAATCAATTCTATTACAATTTTAATAATTGATTTAACAACTTCAGTTTATCACCTAATTAAATAAATTAATTAAACTAGAATTCATAATTTCAACTTCCAAAGTATTTGTGAATTACATAGAGGAAAGCTGCAACAACTGATTTCTCGAAACAATAGAAAATAATCACTACAGAAGGTCTAACACTCACTGCTCTTCTAGATTCATCTGAACCAACACAAGCTTCTGTAATTTCTTTATAATACAGCTGTTGCTCCTGTAAAATTGATTAAAAAAAAGATATAAGCAAGAAAGAAAATTAAGATATTTCCATTTCAAAACTTCAATTTTTTGTAACATAATTATTTTCACTAAAAATCTTACCACTGAGAGTTCATGAGTAGCAAGTTGTTTCAGACGTACAATTTCAAGATGTTTTGAAATATCTTCTTTAGAACCTTTATTTGTAGGACTGGATCCAATCTTTGGTATTTTAGCAGATGGATCCATACTTTCAAGCTTCTGCTGATCCTTGGAAACTAAAAAAAGGAGAATAACATTTGCTACAAATCAAAATTCTGAATAAATCTTGAATTAGGAAAAAGTTAATGTGTATTAATGGACATGACATGATGAGCTGAATACAGTCAACAGAACAGTAGTATACTGGAACAATTACTTGACAGAAGTTTGTATTTATAGTGTTCTAAACAGAGCTTTTGGTAAAATTGGAATGTCTAACAAAATAATAGGTATCAATGAAAGCCTTTTAACAAGGCAGATAGGTTGAATACTGATTCTTTAATTAAACAAAGAGTCATCATTTTATTCTGAACTCCGCAACAATGACTGGTGCAAATCTGGCAGAATAACTGTTAGCTTTTATGCTTGATGACAGCCAACTTTCTTGATGGATAATACATTGGTACCAATATATATATATATAAATATACCAGAAAATGTAGCTTCCACAGACTCTTTCTAGTGGCAACAGTTCCACAACTGCTCCTAATAATGTCTCAAACATCAACTGTAGCTTCTTTTTACACTGATGGAAGCACAATGAATAATTCAGAATGAAAACCCACTATATTGACATAATACAAGTATAAAAGCAGTCAGATCATTAACATTTATTTCTTGCCAATGCAGAAATGTGCCAAATCTACTTTCGCACCAAGGTCATTGCAGGAAGCAAATATCAATAAATTTCAAGTTCAATAATTTGGTGAGGATATTCTAGATAGCACACTTTTAATTGTTATCATAACTCAGTTTTAGAATAATCTTCCAAATGTCATTATTTTAAACTTAATACAAGCCCAACATAATTAATAAAAAATGAAAACAAAGATTAAAAATAAACAAAAGCAAACAAAAAATTAGAAATAACTGAAACAAACAGAAAGACATTACTCTTAGAAGCTTGATGCACTTTGAGAAACATGGCAAATGAAGAATAGAATGGACTTAGAACGAGGGGACAGAAATATATGCTATGCAGCAAGTTTATTTAACAGCATATTTCAGCTTTCATTATAAAAGGAGAACTTTCATGATTTGAATAGATATAAACTTTCATTTATGAGCTAATTGTACATTATTCGGTACTTTTTCGTTTTGCCAACGCAGACAATAAAGTCACGAATAATGGTGCAACTAATGCCAAACGGAATATCCTCGCTGGTAACCATTCACACCTCATTTTCAAAACAAATTGCAGCCATTTCTTATCAGATTGATTGTTTCTTTCAATACTGGCATGCAATTACATAGAATTTTTACCTATATAGTTCAATTTTATGCCCTAAGGCCATTCGTGGTAATCAAGTCAATTAGGATGCAATCACACCGCTCACCCAAAAGAGAAAATATAGAAAAGGCAAAGTCAAGAGTTAAATTCATCAATTCTAATAAGAATGCACTAGCGAAGTAAAGCACTGCAGTCTTACATAATTTCTGCTATTCGTACATATTGAAATAATTCTTGCATTTACACTTGTATTCCGAATTAAGATTTAACTTTAAATTAATGTAGATAATAACTGAGAGAATTAGATTTTTGTAGCGTAGTTTACGTGAGATGAGAGCACTTGGGATCATGTGATATGAACCGGCGAATCAGGATGTTGACCATGAAAGCATAGTACATGCTTAAATTAATGTCTTTTTACAAATTTATTGTCTTTATTTATTGGTTTTCTTACAAAATTTTAAATGATATTAAAATGTTTATGCCTTCAAAATAAAAAAATCCTTAGAACTAACATTTGTTAACATTTTTTATGTGTATACTGTATGCTGTCGCCAATAAAGTCTGCTTGGCGAGATTTGCACCAGCGAAACGGAAAAGTACCCATTATTCAGTCAATGAGAAGGCAATAAGATTTTGGGGAGGAATTCATTGATTGCATGCACACACGGCTATGGATAAAATACAGTGAAACTGCTCATAATGACCACCACGCTACACAATTACTTCTAAAATTAGCTTGCATTTCTCAAAACATAACACAAACATACAGGAAAAGTTGTAAATCTCTAAAGGAATTGCTTCCATAGATCATCAGAATATCTCAACAAGTGTACATATACAGGGTGCTTAAAAAGTACCAGGCAAAAATGGAAAGGTAGACAATGGAAATTAAATCAAGCAGATTTTGTTATGGAATGTACATGTCAAAATGGCCTTCTGTGATGTTACAGGATACTTTTGAGCAGAAAAGCATTTAACTGCTTAAATTGTCATTACTCATTTGAGCAATATGCATCACTACATGAATACAAAGCTCACTGATATGAATTTTATCTACGGAACTGCAGCTAAAATGAAGCTACTAAAAAGGGGTACAATGAATGATTTCCATGCACCTCCTTTGAATAGCTGCTTCTTTTTCATCTGCAGCCACAGCATCAACATTTTCACCCATACGTTAAATTAGTTAACATATTCACTGCTATTTACGAGAATACTCATAGCTGGCAAATTGAGTTTGCTTGTCAGCTACAATATAATTTGTTATCAATCACCTTACTTATATGACCAAGTACAAATATTGCCTAAGTACATGCATGCGATGTTTAGATTTTTGGTGTCCGGGAAGGAACAATTTATTTCTCAAAACTGTAACTAAATGCTTAAAATGCAAAAACTTTTTTTGTGAAAAGACGGGGGGTATTCACTTGGGAAATAAGCAAGCTGCACAAATTCTTGTTCAGTGACTCAAGACTAGTGAAAAATAATGTTTTGAACATGTGGAGTTTTGTGTAAATGCACAGAAAAAGTGAGTATTATTTATCCTAGTTACAATAGTTGCCATAGGGAGCAAAAATATGATTTTAGTTACAATTAAAAGTAATCTATTATATCTATATTTAAATCAGAAAATAATTTAACAGCATATAGAAGCGCAAATAGGATCTTGATGAGTGTGAACGGATGCACTTAAATAGCTCTGGCAGTGAATGTATTAACAGTAGTAAAAAAATTAAAAAAAATAATAGGGTGAGAATATCAAATAAAAGAAAAAATTCCATTATCATTTGTAAAACAATTGTAATCAAATATCTAGACAATTCCAGGTTTTATTCCAAATTTCCAAATTTTACTTTTAAAGATCTAATATTAGATTTATAACCTAAAATTCAATTGCGAATGCTGTTTTTTTAATGGGAAAGATATAATAAGTAGAATTCTATTGTTATCAACTATTTTTACTTAATTTACTTAACTAACAACTATTCTGAATGATTTTAAAGCTTAGTTTATTTTATAGAGTTAACCTGTTTACTTAACCTGCATATTTTGCGAAGATAAATGCATCAAAATCTAGAATTTACAATCATGATATTGTTTGATTAACCAGTTTTGGCAAACGTAATCTTTTGCAAAGTTTTGGATAATGGATTCGTTCAAATAAACTTCAATTAAGCATCCTAAAATTTCTGAGATATAAAAGTGAAGCAGCATCTAGAGTACATTTTGACTTGCATATTACAACGACTCATGAATGTGTGCCCAGATAATGCAACATTATTTTACACAGGAGCTGCCATTTTATTCATTTGTTTAATATAAACAACTGGATTGTTGAGCATTATGCTTTCGCTATTAAAATATTCTCTAGTAATAATGATTCTATAGTTACTAAATGAAGGCAATATTTGATGTTAAGATGCCATGAGAATGTATCAGATAGTCACACCATATATAAGACGGTTAAGTTGCTTTAGATTAACAGAAATTGTATATACTCAGGAAAAAGCAAATGGACTCAGCAGGCACTTGAAACGACTGAAAATATTTGTGCTGGAATTAGACTTAAGAAGATTTGTTTGGCAATATTTTAAAGCTCTGAAAATTTTTAGTAAATCATTTAGGAGAATATTGTATCAAGATATCTCGTACCTTACGAATGTCAAACTGTGCAAGAAATTAAATCTCGAGGTTTTGTCGTATGCAAACAGTAATGCCATAACCACATACAATTTCTCAGAATATTTACAGATATTACGTATCTTCATTATGCTAGATGAAGTCTACTTCAAGTTATAATATGGCTCTGGCAATAAATAAAATGTGTATTAGTGAAGTGATGTACACCTACATCAGCATCATCACACAACATAATGATGGAACATGATGTCATGATGTGATGTGGGATTGTTTCCTTTGGAATTATCAGGACATATTTTTTCCAAGAAAGCAGGCTGCCATCATTACCAGTAAATCACCAGTAAATTTACCTAAGAATGCTGCACAACTTCTTTTTTCATCAGTTGCACAGAGTGCATATGAACCATTTATGGGCCTCACAAAATTAAGTCCCTATGCATATGCCAAAGCATGTGTTGATTTTTTTAATAGCTCTTTACAAGGATTAATTACTTATTATGGTGACATCTCTTGCCACACCAAACTCTATATGTAACATGTGAACTGCCTTTTGGGAGTACCTCAAGCATGTTATTTTTAAAACATGTTAGTCACAATAGTGTATCAAAAGGACAGTACAGTATCATATCCACTGGTCTTTCATTATGACAAAAACTGGATAAATCTATTTGTTACTAAAAAGCATGATGCAGTAAGACCATTGTCTGACTGAGATGATATTCAAACATTGCCAGATAAATGACATTTTTATAACTACCTTTTGAGATACAGAATAATAAATAAAAACCAACTGTTTGATTATGGTTTGGTTTTATCAGTATAATATCAGTATCACTAAAACTTTTAAAAAATCCCCCAAAAATCTTACAAATGTATGTTGAAATTCTGCATTTCAAATTGTTATTTAATTTACCTGAAATTTCAATTTTTTTCACAATAGGTCTTTATAAAAACTCTGTAAATTAACTCTAAGACCCATAAAAATTAAGTGCAACAAAGTATGAAACATTTTCTTTATTTAAAAAAATGGAAGTCATCTTAAGTCAAATAGAGTCTTCTTTTATTCATTGCACAGATTTTGAAACCTCTTAATATTAACCACATACAATATCTAAATTGATAGAATCAGCTTCATTAAATATCTTTTCTAGCTCAGTTTCATGAAAACATCATTTTAATACTACTATGTTTGTACTTGCTTAAAAAAAAGAAAAGGGGGAAAACCTCAACTTTTGTGTGCATGCAAATCTATATATAACCAAACTAGAATATAAAACCAGTACCAGTAGTTATAAAGGCAAGATTTCCTTTAAAGAATTAAATATTATAAAATTAGTTAATTTATATTCCTACTTCTTTATAAGAGCTGATTAATGTATGATTAAATACCTGATCATTAAAAAAAATTGCCATTAAATGAATACAAAATGTAAACTACAATATAATTTAAAATAGAGTTTTTATAAAGTATTATGATTAAAAAAAATTACCTGGAGGTGGATTTTCTGGAATTGTTGGCTGTACACCTTCAATACTTAACCAGTGAGCTACACAGTAAGGGAGGAAAGGATAAAATTATACAAGTTTCTTGAATTAAAGTTTTATAAAAAAAAATTTATTTTTTACTATTTTTAAAGGCTAGATGCCTTTATTCACTTAACATGAATTTTCATCTCTTATTTTAATCCAAACTGAGGTTCACTTAAAACAACATTAATATACATAATATTACACTGTTTCAAAATATAAAATTTATTAACCTTGACACAGTTAAGTGATTTTTTACAAAAAAAGAATGATGACTGATAATTCAAAAATTAATTTATTATATACAGAGATATTCCATGTTTTAATTAGGTATATGTCCTGAAGATCAATTAATAAGCCTACTTAGAAGTAGTTTTTTTTGTTTGTTTGTTTGTTCTGGTAGAAATGATGAATATATTCAAAGCGATAGTTTTCTTTAGCGATTTTATGGCAAAATACTGTATTCCTTGTAGAATTTTCACTTAAATTTCTTGCAATGCATGTAAATCCCACAATCACATACACTTTACGAGTTTGAAACAAAAAACAAACAAACAAAAAAAAAAAAAAAAGTGTCAAATTTGTTTATAAGAACCATTGGAACTTCCATCTCCTTCTAAGAGGACTGTTTTAATACATCAGTACCAAATATTCTCCTTCTTATAGTCTTGAGTACAGAAAATACAGTTTAAGGGTATCAAATTGCCCACTAGCTTTTTTACAAGGTAATAGCACGCAGCAGATTGACTACATATATACAATATGCTAAAATTTTTAATGATAAAGAGCTAAATTTTTTCATTTTCATTGAACTCATTTAATAAACCTGTTAGTGATCCTGAATAAGCAAAGTTTGAACGTTCCAGTATATTCAAAGTTGTCAAACTTCTTCCATAATGGAAAAAATAGGTTTCTTCCACTAGTGGAAAAAATTGGAAAAAACTAGTTTAAGAATTTATTTATATTACACCTATACTTTCTTCACATGTAGCACTATTATAAATGCTAATTTAAATATTTTTATTTTCTTATAATTAATGAGTTTCATTTGTATGCCTGCAACATCATGTTTTTTGGTAATACATATATATATATAAATAAGAAGAATTCTATTTTGTACTACGAGAACTTTTTCATATTTGTGAATTCTGAACTTCACTCATATCAATAAAACTGCAAAAGTACATTATTATTACAGTATTTTTCTGCTGTTAGATATGGCTGTGACATTTCTAGATTTAAACAGACAAACTGGCCTTCTGCAGGGAACAGTCATCAGCCAATTCTTTTTGATATTTTTATTAATGATTTACCGAACACTCTGACACAGTGAGTGGATTCTGCCCTTTTTGCTGACATTTTGGTTATCTGAAGAAGTGTTTCTAAAAAAAAGCAGGATGGTTTAAATGTGACCCTTAATAGTGCTCTGAAAGAGCTGGAATATTGGTGTCTAAAAAATTGTTATGAGAGTAAATCAGGATAAAAGCATATGCCAGCTCCTCTCTTTGAACAGACAGCCTTTTACCCTGAAGTTGACATACAGGGCTGTAGATGTTCAACATAATGATTCGACTAAATATTTGGGTTGTATCCTCGATCCACGGTTAAATTGGAGAAAACATGAGGAACATTTGAAAAATAAAGCTGTGAGAAGACTCTGTCTTAAAATGTCTGGCTGGTTCAATATGAGGCTGTGACAGAGAGACTAATTACAAATTATACATTCATCCAAATATTGGTTATTGTAGCGAGATCCTCATCATGGCTCCTAAGTATATAGTCCAAATCCTCGACAAAGCGCTATGCATAATTACTGGGGCAGTGAGATCTACTCCTACTTTTGCAATGTAGCTTTTAACAAGTTTGGAACCTGTTCATGATTGTATTAATAGGAAAGTGATTCTATTATACGGAAACCTGGAGCGTTTTCCTGACAACCTATTTTGGACGAACTATAATAATGAAATTTCTAGAAAGCTTAAAACTCAAATCGGCTTTATCCAGGCTGCTCAGAGAGAATCTGCATTGGAATTTAGCAGAGATTATCTAATTTTACCTCATTCCCATTGTCCCTTGCACTTTTTGAATTTGAATATAAATGTCGATCTTATTCAAAGAGCTGTTAAAAATGAAATGAGCAATTCACAATCAAAATCTACTGCAGTGGAAACTATTGGGGTTCACTAATCCTCAAAATGAATGGTTGCGTGTCTATACTGACGGTTCTATATTAGAGAGAATGTGATGTGCTGGAGCAGGTATCCATAGTGAGCTTTTTAGTTTCTACTTACAAATGGGCCCTCTTACTACTGCCTTTGATGAGGAAATCGAAGCTATGGCTGTGGCTGTTCAACAACTGTCAATTTGTAGCCATGCTTTTGTAAAGGCAATCATATCGTCAAATTCCAAATATGCACTTCAAGCTCTTCTGAATAATCAAAACAATTCCCAAAGAACCTTAGACTCTGGAATGGAATACAGAATTTCTTTCCAGTGGATTACAGCCCACTGTGAAATTATGGGAAACAAAAAAGCTGATGCAATGGCTAAGAAGAAAAGAACTTTGATAATGCAACACATTAATCGACCACTTTCTTTTCATATGACTAAATTGTTTATTAACCTGACTCTTAAGAAAATTCTTAAGCAGGATATGATTCAATGTGCTATGGATAAGAGATTGAGGATTCTGGGGGAAGAGACAACTTTCATTCCCAATTTTCCAAAAAAGAATGCTGCAGCTCCATTTAGACATCTGACCGGACATGGCTGTTTATGAGACCACCTCTACAGTGGATGGAGTGGTGGATTCCCTAAACTGTATTTTGTGTGACTCCAATTAACCTATGATTTTTGAAAGTTTAAATAATTATATTGCACTTTCTCGGAATGAGGACATTGTTAAGTACTGGACAGCCACTTAAGTGTTAATGTTTGGCATTTGTAAAATAAATAAAATATTATTATTCAGAAGGGGAGGGGGAGCTGAATCGTAAAAATGAGATAAAATTACAAAATTGTAAACAGTGTAATAAAACAGTTTTTAATACCTTTTTTAAAATTTAGAATGGAAAAATTCAAAATAGCAAAAAATGTGTTCTAATGCTGCTAAGCTTCAATCTCAAATTTATTCTCCACAATTTATTCCACCCAGAGCACCTAATTTTGGTGGCATTTAGGAAGCCGCTATAAAGGCATTTAAATATAATTTCAAACAGTTGTAAAAAGTATAAATTTAACTTATTCTTCATGGCCATTGCACAAACTGAAGAAATTTTAAATTCAAGACTCCTCTGCCCATTGCCTGCTAATGAGGATGATTCTGGAGCTTTAACTCCTGTTCACTTTTTAATAAACCAATCAATGAATTCCATTACTGAGCCAAATTTAACTTTTCAGATGAATGCTGCCTTAAAAAATAGCACATAATAACAAAAATTGTGCAGTCAATTTGGAAGAGGTAGCACCATAATTATATAAGTCTATTACAACAATGCAGCAAATTGAGATTTGAAAAGAATAATGTGCATACAGGAGATTTAGTAATAGTGGTAGAAGATAATATACCAACTCAAGAAGTGGCCTTTGGGTCGAATCATCAATGAGTACTGTGGTAAAGATAAGAAAATCAGTGTTGTTTATGTAAAAATGCAGTTCAGTATTTTTAAAAGGCGCATTTCAAAAATCTGTGTTTTACCAATGCCAGAATGAATATTTTTATGCTACATAAGTAAGATTTAAATGTGTTAATGTATATTTTTGCATTTCCTTATTTCCTTTAAGTATTATAATAAGTACCTATCATTATGTTAAGAAGTGGCAAATTTCAGTAATATGTTCTATTTTTGTATATGTTTTTAGTGATTTTCAATGTATTGTGCATTTTTAAGCACGATTGCATCACATACGGTGGTTGAATGTTGTTAACATTGCAATGCCGGTCCGTATGCTTGCACATGCTCCATAATGACATCTGTTTTGTGTATGCTTGTGAGATTACAGCCACCTGGTGAGGTACTCAAGTTTCTGTTAGTGTTCTAAAGCTGTAATTTGAGTATGAAAACTGAGTGCAGTTTATTGCGATTTAAGTGTGTCTAAAAATACCGTATAATAGATAGAGTCCACTGGCTTAATTTTTGGCAAATGTGCGAGTTATTTTCGGATAAAAGTAAACACTATGTTATATTTATTTACGTTATCTGCAGTTTGTCAATAGATGGAAGTAATATATATTATACATGGTGAAAACTATAACATTACACACCCTGACTTCTAAATGATTCAGCTAGCTTTTAATATTTATTCATCCATATACATTCAAACAAAAATGTTCTCTTTAAATGTCTACTTTGATACAACTTAACTTTAAAGAGTATACCAAAAAGATCGTTTTCTTAGTTGGTGCATTTTAAAATGAGAAAGTGAGAAATCATTAAATCTTAATTCTAATAAAATTACAATCTTGTAAAAGAACAGGTAAGACCTTTTTGCATGAAAATTCAAGGATACACTTACATGCAATATTTCAAACACAAAATTCATAAATCGTAAAATTATTAAAAAATAATATACTGTAGAATTCCTTTTAATCAGCAGCAATAGAACACTGCTGATTACTGATAAGAGACTTTCCTAAATAACTGAATATACATTTTTAGAATTAGCTTTTTCATGATTTATGATGCTATCTGAAGAGTATGTGAAATCCACTGGTTGTGATTTTTCATCTAGTGGCCACACTTTATAATACACATAACAATTTTATAATAAATAAATATAAAATGAATTTCACCTTTTACAGATATATCAAGTGGAAGCTTAGGCATCTGAGCTCCTACAACATCACTCAACTCCATTTCTTTTTCTTCACTGAAATAGATTTCTCGACCTCCACCACTGGCAAACCGAAATGGGATAAATTCAGGAGCACAAAACCCATACAGAGGCTATAAAGAAACTAATATTTATTAAACAATAACACTCAGTCTTAAAGAAATAATAGGTCTGTCAACTAATATGACAGAATCAATTATCAGTTAATGAAAAAAAGAAATTTCTTTACCTCAATATTTTTAACTTTCAGTGTGTAATCAAGGTCTCCAACACTGAGCCTTTTTCTTTTAGCATGGCCCATAAATTTCTTTGCATCCTTAAAAAGCAAATTTCATCAACTTAATTTTAGTACAATAAAAAACTGCAAACATAATCAAACAACATAAAAGTTAAAAATTTTCAAAATAATTCTTTATTATTATTATGTTTTCTAATGAGAATAAAAAAATGAAACACCTCCACAGTAATTACTATTAGTAAATTAAGAACAGTTAGCTTACTAGATGAATTTTACTTTAGCCTATTACTGTAACTATTTCATTGGGCTTTTTTCTTTCATATGGATTTATGCATCATTTATATTTGAAGCCTTACCAGACCAGATAACTGTTCAAGGAATATGGTAAATAAATAACTTTTCTCTTTAATCTTAGAAGCTGCTACCCATATAGTATTCAACCTCGCTTCTACATACATTACAGAAAGATAAATATGTTAAATTATTAATAATTAGGTTAAAATCCCTTAAAAGAAATAAAATTTGATAAATTAACTCTTTATCAAATGATTTTCAACCTGGTTCAATTCCTAAAAATGTTTTAACACAACAACATGCCTGCAATTAATGAGCTTTGGGGGGAAGAGACAGTAAATTCAACAAAAGTCATAAACAAGATGTCTAATCACTTAAAATATTTTCTTCTTAACATTAATCAAGTTCCTTTTGAGCTGAACCAAAATTTCTAAAGAGGAACATGAAGTAATTTGCAAACTATAAAATAAAATATATGCACTAAATTAAAATAAATTTTCAAAACAATTTTAAATACTTTGCATGTATTTAGACTAATTAAAATGTATTTCCATTACTAAATAATTCATATAATGAATGTTCCGAAAGGAAAGTAATAATGATATTGTAAATAAAATTCCTACTTTAAATAATGATAAGGAAAAGAAAATGAATTATACATATAAGCAAGGCTATATATATACTACTTCACGACTTTGAAAAGATTACTAAACTAAAGTACAAAAGATGAAAAGAACCTAGCAGTTCAATTTATCACCAATACACTTGAATTAATATTGCAACTGAATAAAAAGTCTTGAATCTACTGTTTGAATTTAATCAATCAGTTACTGATTAATAAATTATGCAATTTAATAATAATAACATTTCCCAGTTATTTAATTTTTTAACTTTTTAATAATATATTTAATTTCTATATATTAAATATATGTAAACTAAAATACAGTAACAGACCAACTATCTGACATTCAACTAAGTGACTTTTAGGGGGAAAAATTAGCAAATGACAAATTTCTATTGCCATTATAACTCATAATCCTATAATTAATCAAAGAGTCAATTAAGAAAAAGGCAAAAAAAATTTCAGTAGGTTTTCGTTGGCTGTTAACAAGTTGACAGACACTGTGGATATTGCCCAATTGCTGCTGCTTATTTGAGAAGCTTTGTTACCAATCCTAGACTGTCGGCTGCCCATGTGCTGCGCACCATCTTGCCCCCTCCCCACTAGGCTCGGCCCTGAGGAGACTGAAGAATTAGCTTCTATGAACAGTCTGTATGGAACAACTACAGGCAAAAGTAGCTTCAAGAAAGTTGAGAAAATGCTAACACACTACAATTTACAATGGAATTGGTTAAAATGAGTCACAACTAATGGTGGAAAAAATATGTGTAAAACATAGAAAGGATTAGTTAGAAGATTTTTATGACTTGCCTGGGAGCTAAATATTAAACACATTTGGTAATTAATCAAATTATTTATATGCAGGCACTTAGAGGAAACACCTCAATGTGTCATGTGTTATTGAAAGAGCTGTATAAGCAATTATTTGCTCTCATGGATTTAAACATTGTGGTTTATGATTTTTTATTAAGACACTGTAGTTCAAAATCCTGACTTGTCTTAGCAGCACGTAGATGTGATTAGCAATGGAGGAGTTTTATTGAAAATTTTGAATTCAGAGTAATAATAGAAATTTTTCTAAATGAAAAAACTGCCCATTGTATATGATTTATAGCTGTATTAGACAGTGCTTATGAACGTGAAAGGTTTGGCTTGGTTAATTTAATTAAGGCAAAGCACTTCATGGCTAAGAAAAGAAATGTCTTTGTGGAGGACTTTCCAAAGGAAAATGGCTCATAAACACATTCCACATATGGAGAACCACAAAAGCGGCCCTGCAACCAGCCTGTTCAGCAGGATTCAAACCTTGGACTGAATTACCATTATTCAGCAGCTTTACCACTTACCAATGTGAAAGGACACTTAAAAAATGAAGCATGTAAAGTCACAACTTAACTTACTCCATATAATGTGTTCATTAACAAATGGAAATATTTTATTTTTATTTATTTATTCAATATTATTACTTGTGTGTTGTTATGCATTTCATCAAAATATGTATAATTATTACGTAAAAATATCACTTACTACAAAAATTAATTTATTTACTTATTTTTGGTCTGCGAAGCTAAAAAATTTTATGATATGGCCCTTTCCCCCAAAACAATTTGTCAACCCTTGATTCTAAGGCATTAACAAATACACAGAAGAATTCAAAAGGAAACTAAACTACTGCATTTGCACGTAAAAAATTTTACCAGTATATAGTTGATAAATATTTTGCAGTTGAAAGTGACAATAAATCTCTGGAATCAGTTTTAAAGAAACCATTAAATAAATGACCAGTAAAATTACAAAGAATGCACATAAGGTTACAGCCATATAAAAATAAAAAAACTAGAAAATATCCCTTTATAACTGATGTATTATCAAGACTGGTAAAGAATTTGACACTTTGAAGGAAAGATAGAAGCTTAGTTGGAATGGGTATAGAAAGTACACCAATACCTAAAATTGAAATGGAAAATTTTCAACACCAATACCTAAAATTAAATTTTAGGTATTGGCAATTTTTCAACTGGAAACAGAAAAAGATGAACTACAAGTTCTAAGAAAATTAATCAAAACTGAATGGCCAGATAAGAAGTCTACTATTTCCACAAAACTATATCTTAACTTCAAAGAAGATTTATCAGAAGTAAATGGATTTATATTTAAAAATTCCAGCGCAGCTGAATCTAGGATTCTACAAGACATCTTAAGTAGAATTCAATAAAAGTACAGAAATACAAAAACAAAACAAAGGAAATACTATATTCACCTGGTCTGTCAAAAAAAATATCAAATTTGGTTCTAAATTATCTAATATGTTTGAGTTTCCAAAAATATAATAAAAAAAACTAACAATATCTAAAGAAATACCTAATGGGCCATGGGAAATACTGGAAACTGATCTTGTTTATTTTCAAAGCAGAGATTATTTAATAGTTACAGACTACTTTGGCAAATACATTGAAATTGAATCTTTAAACTATTTATCAAGCATAGCAGTAATAAAGCAGTTGAGATTTTCTTTTACAAAGCATGGTGTCCAGAAATAGTACATTCAGATAAAGGTCTACAACATAACTGAAAGTATCTGCAAGCAAATGGAATTTTGAAGTCCAAATTACTCACAGCGAAACGGAATATTTAGGAGACATATTCAAACTATCAGGTGAGTGTTAAAAAAGCTGCAATTGACAGTATGAATCCATATTTAATTATACTGGAACTAGAAAGCATGGTGGTCATACGAAATGACCGCTGTTCTAGATAATATAAATTGTAATTAAAATGATTTGTGCAAAGGTGTCTGCTAATTTAAACTGAATTACCCAGCGCAGGCGGCGAGGACGCCCCTTTGCTTACTGCCTTACAGGGTTTCCCCCTCCCCCTTCTACTTGCTTAATTGTTTAAGTAGAGTGCAATGAAGAAAACCACTGGCGATACATTTCTTAAGAGCCACCGCTAACTCAATAAATAAAGGTGATTTAAATAATAAAATGTTAATTCACATGTCAAAGATCTCTTTGTACACAACATTTGTTGTGTAGATCTTTCCATCATTTTTAAGCTCGCCTTGCAGAGGACCATAAATTATTTTTAATTTTACGTCCGCTCTTTCGCAAACTCTTGAACAGGCAACATAAAGTTGACCGTGTCCAAATGCAGGCTCAGATAAAAAAATGGCAACACGCTCAAGCGTTTGACCCTGAGACTTATTGACGGTCATAGCAAAGGGAGTTTTTACAGGAAATTGTCTACGTCTCAATTGAAAAGGCAACACTGTGCCGTGGTAACTTCACCCCATTGGCTAGTACAGTCACGCAAGCAACCAATAAACTATCGGTGACAAACAGACACTTAAGCCGCATGGTGTGAAGTAACATCATTTCCTCTGAAACGGCTGGCTCCCGAGCTTAGCGAAGTATACCGTTAGATTCTGCTGGTCCGCAGCACACCATTTTGACCATTCGCTTTTTCTTGGGACTTTAATTAGCCGAGATATTAATTAAAAACTAATTTTCCCCTATGTTTTCCCTACATTTTCCACTTTCTTTCTTGGGTTTTCCCTATTAGAGGGATTCGGCTACGTGCCAAATTCTTTTTTCTCGAATATCTACGGAACGACGCCAAGTTGAAATTTGAGACGCGTATCCTCAGGTTCCAAAAAATTCTCCCAATCTATCGATACCGTTCTCATCTTCGTACGACTTTAATCGGCTGAGATATTATTTAAAACTGTGGAAATAATAATTTCCGCAATCATTTTTCCGAGTGGCAACAATAAACTATTGGCGACACACACTTTAGCCACTTATATATATAAAAGAAAACCTAATTTTCCCCTATGTTTTCCACTTCCTTCCTTGGGTTTTCCCTATTAGAGGGATTTGGCTAAGTGCCAAATTCTTTTTTTTTCGAATATCTATGGAACAGCGGCGAGTTGAAATTCGAGTCGCACATCTTTGGATTCTAAAAACTTCTCCGAATCCATCGATACTGTTCTCATCTTCGTACGACTATAGTCGGCCGAGATATTAATTAGAAACTGCGGAAACGTTAATTATAATAATAATAACAACATAAACTATCCGCGCAATAGATATATAAATGGCAACAATAAACTATTGGCGAAACACACTTTAGGTGCTTATATATAAAGATACTATAACTCTCT